TAGACTGTGGTCTCATCGAGTGCATTGAGCAGTTAAGTTCTGTTTTTAAAAAATAGGAGCATGGAATCTAAAAATATAAAATGACAAATAGCACTACAAATAGACGGATGCTACCAGGATGACACCTTGAATTTCATTAGTTTTTCTTAAGCAAGGAATATCCCAAAGTAGTTTGCCATTGCCTTCCTCAGAAATGCAGCCAACATCACCTTGTATTCCTTGATGCTCCCACATCCAACTACTTACCAGCTTCTGATATAGGATCTGGTGCCTTCAGGGTATTTAAGCCTTATCTGTTATTTAGTCCCACCCTATCTATAATCATTTCCATTATCTTCCTAGTTGTGGGCAGTGACTTTTTGAAAAGTGAGACTCTGCTATCTAAGCCGACATTATATGTAAATTCGAACCCTCATCTTGCAGATTTCTAACTAACATGGATAGCCTACATAGATAGTGAAAGTCCTCTTCATGCCCTTTGCCCCTTACACCTACAATGTGATGGAGAATAGTAAGGAAAGAGCTAGTACTCTTCTTGCAAAGAGTTAGCACAGTGGCAACTTTTGGTCCTTCAGATGTTTAGGACTTCAGCTCTCACAATTCCTAAAAACTGGTAAGCTGTCTGGGATTTCTGGGAATTGGGAGTCCAAAACAGTTGGAGGACCAAAGGTTGGGAACCACTGAGCTGGCACTTCCCCTTCTTTGCATGTTGATTTCACATGCACAAATCATAACCGAATAGGGATGATCTCAGAAATTGAAGGGACAATATTTCTATTACATTTGACAGGCCCCAACCATAGGTTTCTGCTTTCTACTGTATCCCCCAATTAGATACCAAGTATGTAGGTTTCCTTTGTCGTCATTAATTATTTTTCCAATGTGGGCAGACATGCTATGAAGGAACACACTTGCTGAGGCTGCCTTCATCATCCATCTTCACTCCCCAAAATGCCCATGATATTTGGGGGGGGGGTGTCTAGAACAAGTCTGACATTTTGCTGTACAGTGCACCTAAAAAGACTTTTCTTTAAGCTGGAAATGGATACTGCATATTTATAATGATTAGCAAAAGTGGCAATAGGCCTGTGCTGGAAGTTCCTTCCAGGTCTTGTTGGTGATGAGCCCCGTTTCCTTCCCATCTTCCACTTTCTGGTGGTTGTTTGGGAGGAAGGCATGAAAGACTCCAAACTTACATTACAGTTAACTCATAATTGTACCATTATAAGGATAAGTTTCATCAAGGACAGGATTAGGCATGCTTTGCACTAAGAAAACAAAAAGAAAGATACTTTACAAGACATTAATACGACAACACATTTTTCAAAGTGAAATTGTTCTTTTGTGATTCAGAAATGAATATCTATCTAATATCAATATTTTAGGTTGATGGATAGGTTTTCTCCCCTACTAAGCATCTGTTGAGTTGAGACATCGAAAAAGCAGACTGCTAAAGGAAATGGCAAACTTCCTTTTTCTGAAGAGAAAGATAGCAATTAATACAATGTATACTTGGATGAACATTTCTTTTTTAAAAAAATTACTTTGAAAATGTAATGCTGTGTTTTTTAGGATAGACACACTCCACCCTATTTTTTTTTTAAAAAAAAAACATACTATTACCAAGCAACCTCAGCTCTTCTGTATCCTGCCCTGTGTTGGCAATAATTAGGGGAGACTCCCAGTGCTGGCTTTTCTGCCATAGTATGCCTTCAATTAATTTAAATCCCTCCCACCCTAGTTTCCTTAATTCATCACATGACTAATTAGATAATTTTTTCGAGTTTTAATTCATAAAAGTCAAGAAGCTACTGTATCTTAATCCACTGCCTTTCCCTCTAACTTTGTTTTTCTCAATGTGGATTTGAACATTATACAAAACTGTATTTCCAGGCCATACTCCAGGAAATAATGCCTGGCTGCTCATTGAAAGGAAGGATATTAGAGGCAAAAATGAAGTACTTTGGCCACATAATGAGAAGACAGGAAAGCTTAGAGAAGACAATGATGCTGGGAAAATGGAAGGAAAGAGGAAGAGGGGCTGACCAAGGGCAAGATGGATGGATGGTATCCTTGAAGTGACTGGCTTGACCTTGAAGGAGCTGGAGTTGGCCATTGTTCACAGGGAGCTCTGACATGGGCTGGTCCATGAGGTCATGAACAACAACAAACAACTGAACATCCTCTTCTAGAAGGAGCTATGGTGGGAAATAATGTGAAATGTGTCATTTAATTAAATCAGGGATTCTCAAACTTTTTCAGCTGTGGAGCCTTTTTGAAGCAAGAGTTTCTAGTGGTGCCCTCAAAATGTTTAGATTATTATATACTATATATAATGTATACATATCAGACATGGGCCAGGTCATTCAGTTACCCAATATGTAGATACTTTGAATGTGTGAAATGAGGTGGAGAAAATAGCAACCTACAAATCCAAGTTAATACTTTATGCCTCAGCCAATTGTCCAGCATGTGTATGTGTTTTATATACCAGTTGTCAGACAGTTTAGAAAAGAATCTAAATTAAATTAGTTGTTCATCTCTTGGTATGAAATAATTTCACAATTTAGGAAAGTATTGATTTGGTAAATGTAACTGTTCCTAGGCATTTAATGAAGGCTTGCAAGAAACCTGTCTTGTCTGCCTTTTCATGGGTAACTGCCACCTAGAAATTTGTTGGCTTCTAAGTATTTGATAGTGGGCTCAGTAGAAGAAAAACTAAATTATTTGAATTCACACAACAACAACCACCACCACCACCCACATATTTGACTCTGGTGTGCTCCTTCAACCATGTTCTAAGACTACTCCACACACTGAGTTTTCTTTTAAATCTCTCTCAGTCGACTCAGCATGATCTAGTGTTCAGTCTTTCATTTCCAAGCTAAAATATAAAATACACATGGATGATTTTTAACTGTTTTCGGTTTCTAACAATGCACTGGTCCTTACTTGTTGAATAAGTGGATGAAGCCTGCATAGTTTGTTAGCTGTACAGTTTGCGATACAGGTTGGAGATATTTTACCCACCTTGCAGGTACATATTGCAAGGGAGAGTGCTGAGGCTGAAAGTGGAGTGGTTAAATCCAGATTTTGTGACCAAAATGGGGTGGGGCTTCTACCTGCATCAGTTTTCCATCAAGACTCTCTGAAACATTAAACAAGAGATCTTAGGCAAATGTAGGCCTGTGATTGACAACTAACAGTTTTCTTCTGCATGATTTCTTACCTGAAGAAAAAGTCAGCAAACTACAAAAACTAGTATAATGCATTGTTGCCCTTTGGTACACACAATAAAAAGTATCACCTTGATGTGTATTTTGTATTTTGTATTCAGAAGGGCTAAATGGGTCTTCTTATTATATGCCTTCAAGTCATTTTTGACTTATAGTGACCTAAGGCTTACTTATAATTTAATTTATTTATTTATCGTATTTATATACCACCTTTCTCAGCCCGAAGGTGACTCAAGGCGGTTTACAATCGGCATAATTCAATGCCCCCAACAATAGTTAACATATAGTATAAACCATATAAAAACAATAAAAGCAATAAAAGCCAGTAATTATCATGAGATTTCCTTGGCAAAGTTTGTTTGGAGGTTTGTCTTTGTCTTCCTTTGAAGCTGAGAGTGCCTTGCCCAAGGTCACCCTGTGGCTTTCTGTGACTGAGTAGGGATTTGAACCCTAGTCTCCAGAATCATAGTTCAGTGCTCCAACCATTGCATCATGCTGGCTCTCATGCAAGTGAATCCTTTTACTAAGAAGTAATTTAGACCTGCTGCCCATATGCAAATGTGTTTCTTTATTACTCATCGCTTCCTGGTACAGTAGGTGTGTGGATTGACTCAATTAAGGAGTGAGGTGCAAAAACTGATCCTTGCTCATAGAAGCAAGCCACCATTTGAGCCTGATTCATACTGTGTCTGAGCAGATGCTCCTTGTATAAACAAATGTAACAAAATTTGTATTGTAATGTCTGGTTGTTCATCTTCCTCCTATACCTTTATTGTACCACCCGAGGCCATATCCATATTACCTCATAGTTGGATTGGTGACATCAAACAGGCAGACTATTCTCTTGAAATAACTGTATCTTGTAAGTGCTATTTAACCTTAAAGTGTCTCAAACTTGGACTGCAAGTTACATGCACAAATGTCTTAATATAAGATTTGTGTCCTCCTTTTGGATTGTGGGATCACATTAACTGATCTGAAAGGCACGGAAACAAAAAGTAATGGCAGAAGTTAGATTTGCTGCAGAGGAAGCAGAATATGCACATCTTCCCTTCTTCTCTAACTTGCTGGAAGACGACGCTATGTATATTTCCTATGGAGATATAAATGCTTCCCCAATATGATGGAAGAATATGGGCATGGCATGTGTACTTCTTGTTATGAAATTAGGGCAGAAAGGGATAGTTATTTGTATTTAGGCCCCTAAGAACTGGAAGCCCCAAGTTATCTAAAGGTCTGCCAGAGAGAAAATTCTAAAAAGGCAAAACAACATATTATAGAAAAATCCACCTATTGTTTATACTTATGTATAAGTTAACCTCAGGCGATAAGTCAAGGACAGGTTTTTGGGACCAAAATGATTAATTTGGTTAGGACCTATGTTGTTCCTGTTTATTAAAAAAAAATAGAAACTTCACAGAACATCATGTAAAAGGCCTCAAGTGAAACATTTTCTTTTGGAATTAGTAGTAGTTTATTTAGGAACTTTGGAGAAAATAGAGAGAAATTCTCAGGTGAAATACAATATGGAGATCTTTATTTTCAGAGACATCTTGAATAGCAGATATGTCCTCTTGGTATTTTGGTAATGGAATGCTTAACTTATAGTAAGATTTTTAAGACCATTGTAAGGCTATTGTATCATTTTTAAATGCAGTGAATGGTGCTGTGTATTCAGTAGTAGCTGACTCTTGATACATTCTTTACAACTAGTGTAAGCAGTTGAAGAAATAGAAACTAATATTACTCTATTTTATTTTGCAGATAAAGTTTCTCCTGTGTTTTGGATTATTAAACTGCCTCATAGTCTTTGGATTTGCCCAACAAGGCAAGTAGTAATATTTGTCATTGCTTTTGTTATTATTCATTGGTTTCATAGTCTACCAGGTGTTACCAAATGGAATTTGGGACCATCACTTATTTCTATTTTATGCAAGAAACTATTTGCATATACATAATGAGATCTAGAGTTTCCTAAAGAGAACATATTAATCAAATCTGAGAATAATAAAATCCACAAAAGTTAAATCTGCAAGTGTGTAAGGTTGACTGCAATTAATGATTGTGCCATTATAATTTCAAAAAAACCCAATTAATTTCTTCATATTTTCTTGCAGGTGGGAATATTTGTATAGCAGCTAATGCAAAATCATGTGCTGATTGTATACAAGCTGGACCAAATTGTGGATGGTGCAAAAATGTAGTATGTATTACTTTAATTTCCCTACTATGCTAAATTGTGACCAGTCCTGCACAGAATGTTAAGAACTTCCTTCCATTAACAACCACAACTGCAAATTAAAACAATTGGACTTAGTCAGCTTCTGGGTAAAAAGGAGAAAAGATATGAGCAATTTGTAATTGAAACCCTTATAAAAAGGCTGTGGAGACCTTGTAACTGGCCAACCTTGGTAAATACGTTTTCCTAACTTGACTGTAGGAGAAGTGTGTTATGATTGATCCAAAGCAAACTGAACAATCTTAAGATGTTGGTAGAGAATGGCAGGAGTGTCTGGCAAAAAATATTAAATATACCTCTTTTGTGTTTTGAATACTTGAAAATCTTTAATCAAAAGATATTAGCAGAGAAAGTAGTGACTACAGTGACAAAACAATGGTAAAATGATTCAGGCCAAGCAGATGAAAAGTTCTGGCATTGCTTCATCCATGATCTCAAGAATGGAAGACGGGATGTCAGTAGACAACAAAAGATCTAAAGATGGATTTAAAGCTTACTTTTTGAAAAGTGGAATAAACACAGAGAACTGGGAAGCCCTGACCCTTGAGTGCTCTAACTGGAGGTCGCTGTGGATTTTGAAGAGGCACGAATGGAAGGCAAAAGGGAGAAACGCATCAAGAGGAAGGCGCATCAAGCCAACCTTGTGGAGACCATCTTGCATCTGTGGAAGAACATGTAGATCCAGAATAGCTCTCCACAGTCACTTATGGACCTACCACCAAGACTCTACCCTTGGAAGACAATCATACTTGATCATGAGGGATTCCCTATATAGAGTACCAAACAGAAAATGCTGTTTCTTAAGTTGCCATGCAACAAAGAGAAGCATTGACCTTCAGAAATGGATATGTGGATCTATAGAGAGGCAATCTAGATATTTGAAACCCTAGCTATTTAAGGCTTTGGATGAAAGCACTAGCATCATAAGCAAGTAGTGCACTTCCTATGGGATCATTAAAGTGTGCCTTTGCCCTGCTATATATCTTAATATTCTGATATGTGTTACTGAGATGTTTGAAACCTCTGGGTCATCTTCCAAAGCAGTTCTATTTGCAGTAGCTTGCAGTAGTCCAATGGGAGGTTTGATTACCTAACTCTACCTCTGATGGATATTGAATCTATAGATACATGAATCACACTATAATGATTTAGTTCCCGATTACATCATATTTAGCTGTCACTGACTTCAGATTCCATTCATTTCAGTGCATCTGCTCTTAAGTGTGATTAAATCTGGATTCAGGCCAACAAGTGTAATGTATTTGGTTTCCAGCCACAGCTATTAGTATTTTACAAATATGTCCTCCTTCAGGAGACTTTTAATAAGAGCAGGTTGACCTTGATGGGAATGGGAGGTGAGGAGATTCTCAAAAGCCTTTGCATTTATGCACCAGATTAGAAGGATATAATAAACTGAAGTGGGAACGGGTTGTTGTAGATTTTTCGGGCTATATGGCCATGTTCTAGAAGCATTCTCTCCTGATGTTTCACCTGCATCTATGGCAAGCACCCACAGAGGTTGTGAGGTGGGAATGTTTTTTAATGTCTAAAAGATAGCTTTTAAGTTACCTAATAGCATAATGCAGCTGTGTTGCAGCTCTGTTTCTGTCCCATGCATATCCTTCTATCTTTTCCATTTTACAAAGCTAGTGGAAATGACTGTTGAAGCTGCAATCTGTTTCCCTATATAGTTTTGTTCACACTGTGGTGTTTCCCCATGTGACCCCCTATATATATACATGGAAATAGGGGTGTACTGTACAAGTATGTGGAGCTGATATCTATACTTGAAACGACCTGCTGATTTTTTAATCTCAGGTGAAGAGGGCTAGAAATACATTTGAATTACACAGACTGATCGTGGCAACAGATTCTGCTTCTAGAAACAATTCTGTTTTTAATACGAGAGCATATGAACAAGAAAGTGTTTTAAAAACAAACATTAGGGTATGAATTAAGAGAGTAAAGAGAGAATTACATAGCTAATCTCTTTAGGATTTGTCTCCTTTCTTTTCCAGTTGGATAGCTGCTTTACACTCCCTCCACTCTCCATATAGAGCATTCTCTCATAGCTATTTAAAAACCATTCCTCTTCGGAGTCTGTGTGTCTGGATTTAATTATATTCTCCGGTGACATTAGAAGACCAGTAACTTTAGATACAGACAAAGAGGATGGGCAGGAAAACAGAGGATTTTATATACATTTTAAGTCTGTTTTCAGTTCTGAAATGCCATATGGTCTGATATTAGATCCCGTGTACATATTTCCACAGAGCTGGGAAATGGTAATATGGGCTGTAATATGTGTTGGTCCCCTCCTCATAAATGTATAGCAGAGTAACTTAGCAGCAGCAGTATAATCCAGTAGCGGTAGCCCAAACTGATAAAAAGAACAAAAACACAAATACCAATGTTTTCTCTTCCCCCATGAACTAACACGAGCCCTAAGATCATCCGGGGAAGCCCTCCTCTTGCTTCTGCCTCTGTCTCAGGGGCAGTTGATGGGAACAAAGGAGAGGGCGTTCTCAGTGGTGGCCCCCTGGCTCTGGAACCCTCTTCCTTCTGCAAGAACCTAAAAACATAGATGTTCCATTGTGCCTTTGATTAGGCAGTTCCAAAGAATTGGCTCTTTAATACCTAAGTTCCAGCATTCTAGCATAGCCCTCCACTCTACAATCCTGACATTATAACGCCCAAGGACATTACTCTCCCATCCCTTCCACTTAATTTTTGCACTTTCCCTTAGCTCTGTCTAGGAATTTTGCACAAACTCAGAGCCCTCTGAACTCAGCACCTTTATTGCTCCCATGGTAATGTTTTTATGATGTTATGTTTTATTGTATATGTTTCTATTTGGTTTTGTTTTGTTTTGTTTTATTGCATTATGTTTTAACTCTGTGTTCTCTGGCTCGTCACTTTGTAAGTCTCTTCAGAGAGATGGAGGCAGGTTATAAAAATAAAGATTTATTATGATTAAGAATGCTTTTCTTTGTAGTAAAATAATAAAATAATATAGTTGCACTACTGTGCTCCCTGACTTTCCTTCTACGCTGTAGAGACACAGATACTATCCCACAATTTCTCGCAGCCAAAAGAACTTTCAAAACACCATAGGCTCATCATATTTACAACCGCCTGGAATAACAACTAGTCACCTCTCAACAAAGGATTCCCACAAGCAGTGAGAAGCCACACTTGAAACTGGCAAGCCATTACATGCTAATCAAGGTGGCCAATGGAAATATTCACACTTGCCTCCAACAGACAAGAGTTCTTTCTCCCACTCTGGACATTCCACAGATATATAAATTCCATTTTTCTAGTTTCCAACAGACCTCACAACCTCTGAGGATGCTTGCCATAGATGCTGGTGAAACGTCAGGAGAGAATGCTTCTGGAGCATGGCCATACAGCCCAGAAAACACACAATAACCCATGGTTGCAGTATTTACAATAACAAAGTTTCTATAACACAAATAAACAAATACATAGTAGCTTTACATGCAGCAGTCATTATACTAGAGCTTTACACACAAAGCTTCTCTCATACCACGACTTCTCATATCAGGCCTTAATCATACTGTGAGGCATACCTCACAGAAAAGCCTACTCACACTGACTGATGAGTCCCCTCACTGAGGCAAACTAACTCCAAGGGGCTTCTGCCTACTCACTCTTTCAGTGCTTGACTCACACTTTTGTAATCAAAAATACCTAGTTAATATTTAATATGTCTGACAATATCAGGACACTAGACCCCTGAACCCATTCTTTTTCCAGAAAAGTATTCTAACACGGGAATCTCCGCTACTGTAAACTGAAATGACATGACCTAGGCATAAGTTGTACAGATGAGTCATCACTGAGATGCTGAGTAGTTTTCTACTACTTTATCCCAGAAAGAAAACCTTCAATTTGCTGGGTTGTTTCTTCCAGGCTTAGTTTGATCATCTTATTTCTGCTGGTTACTCACGTGAACATCCCATATCATCTCAAAGCTGGAAGATTGCTTTGTGTAATTTGTTGGTTGCGCTCATTTCAGTTTCCTCTCTTGAATACATAATTAGAAGAGAAGCATGTGTGAAATAGGCTAGCTTGGAGAGATAGCTAGCAGCAGTTCCTGCCTTTGTGACCACACTTCTGTGGCAATTACAGGAATTGTTGTCAGGCACAAAACATATGTGTAAATTTTTTAATGTTTTAGCCTGCATCTGTGAGTGGCTCTCTTTACTTGGTTTTTGATGCAAATATCATTGATTCACATATTGATTCTTGCAGATGAGGTCATTGAAATCATGGTGTGACTCATTGTTGCATTCCAAGAGCTAGATCAGTTAATTCCTGTCCTCTTCAGGACCATTCCTGGTGTGCTCAAGGGGGATTCCTTGCTGGGGAAGAGCAAAACACATGCTTTTGAAGCACAGGCAGTCCCCAAGTTACGACCAAAATAGGTTCTGTAGATTTGTTCTTAAATTGAATTTGTATGTAGGTCAGAACAGGTGCATTTTAAAATCTAACTACACCCATAGATGGATGGATGGATGGATGGATGGATGGATGGATGGATGGATGGATGGATGGATGGATAGATAGATAGATAGATAGATAGATAGATAGATAGATAGATAGATAGATAGTGTGCTTTGGATGGCATTGGGAAGAATTCACATCCCTTTGGTGTTTGTTTTGCTACTTGTGCCCTTGTTCAGAAGATTTCACCTCTCTGTCCCTGTGATAATTGGATTTTGAACAATTTGGCTTGTAGAAACAAGGATTGGTGAGAAAGCTTTAGTGGAGACACATTTTTTTCCCCATGATAACTTTTTCAGGAGTGAATTTCCCTTCCAAGGATTTCTCTCACTTCCTGTTGTCTCACCCCCCTTTAAACTATTAGTAATGTAAGTAGGATGTTTGTAACTCACGGAATCCCTGTATTTGTAAAGAATCATAGTGCAGAGGCAGTGGATTTTATGATAGAGAGCTGTGGTGACACAATAGGTGAAACCCTTGTGCTGGCTGAACTGCTGAACTGAAGGTTGGTGGTTCAAATCTGCAAGACAGGATGAGCTCCCATTTGTCAGCCACAGCTTCCCATGGGAGGACATGAGAGAAGCCTCCCACAGGATGGTAAAACATCCAGGCATCCCCAGAGCAATGTCTCTGCAGACTGCCAATTCTGTCTCACCAGAAGCAACTTGCAGTTATCTCAAGTAGCTTCTGACACCAAAAAAGTGTAAGGAAGTCCTAAGTTTAGCTCCCGATATTTGCATTTTCAAAAACACTGGAATGAGTAGGTATCAGCTGAAAAGAAAAATATTCCAACAAGGAAAAAAGCAGGCAGCCCAGTAAAGAGTAATGTGTTTGCTGGATCAAGAGTATAAGGAAGGAGGGTGACTAAAATGATCAAGGGTCTGGAGAACAAGCCCTATGAGGAGCGGCTTAAGGAGGTGGACATGTTTAGCCTGAAGAAGAGAAGGCTGAGAGGGGATATGATAGCCATGTATAAATATGTGAGAGGAAGCCACAGGGAGAAGGGAGCAAGCTTGTTTTCTGCTTCCCTGGAGACTAGGACGAGGAACAATGGCTTCAAACTACAAGAAAGGAGATTCCATCTGAACATGAGGAAGAACTTCCTGACGGTGAGAGCCGTTCAGCAGTGGAACTCTCTGCCCTGGAGTGTGGTGGAGCCTTCTTCTTTGGAAGCTTTTAAACAGAGGCTGGATGGCCATCTGTTGGGTGATTTGAATGCAATATTCCTGCTTCTTGGCAGGGGGTTGGACTGGATGTCCCATGAGGTCTCTTCCAACTCTTTGATTCTATGATTTAAGGTCTTATTTGTGTTCCTACAAGGATTTTTAAAATACAGTACATGTTTCTGCTCTTAAAGAGAAAATAAATCAATGATGAGAATTCAAACTTGATTGAAGTGGCTCTGATTATGTTTTCATTCCTTGTGCAAATGAAAAAAGTTGGTTTATTTTAAGGCTCGTAGTTTAAAACACACAGTCATTGGGTGCATATAATCTCTCAATTGTATGGGGTCCTTTGCTAGAACCACAATCTGGAGTTTTAATTTTTTGGAAATATAGATTTTTGTTATCTTGTCTAAAATTAAAGTACAAAATATCCTGTCATAAACCATTTTAAGCTGATCTTGTTTGTGTTTCTTAGACTTTCTTACAAGAAGGAGAATCTACTTCAGCGCGATGTGATGATTTGGAGGTTTTAAAAACTAAGGGCTGCCCTCCTGAGGAAATAGAAAATCCCAGAGGCTCTCAAGAGATGCTAAAAAACAAAGAAGTTACAAATCGTGTCAAAGGAGCTGCTGAGAGTCTTAAGCCAGAAGACATTACCCAGATTCAGCCCCAGCAAGTACGGTTAAAGCTTCGGATAGGTAAGGATATCACCAATGCCTTATCCTGGGGTGTTTGGTATTCATTAAAAGGCTTCAAGATTTATCTTCCAAAATGTGGCTCTGAGTAGAGTAGAGAGTGGGTAATCAAGAAGGATATGAGTTGCCCATGATTGCAAAGATCTGGAGAACATTACCATTTTCTAGTTCACTGATTTCTGTGACAAATGTTTTCTGTGGTTTTGGTGTTCTTTTGGGTTTCAACCTTGATGCAAGTGCTTGATTTCATTTGGTATGTATTTATTATTAACAGTATTTATATTCCAAGGGACTCAGAGGAGATTACAATGTACATATACATGGCAAACATTCAATGCCATAGACACATAACATATATAGACAGACACACAGAGGCTATTTAACATTCCAGCTTCATGAGGGTATGCTTGAATTCTGGCCACCAGGGGAGCTGTCACTTCACCATCCACTTGTGACACAGATGAAGTATTTCCTCATTCTTTTGCATGCTGCTGAAGATTTTTATAGCATCGTAAATTAGTTAAATTAGCCACATAAAGCGATACCTAAATTTTCTACTTGACAAATGCAACTGTCTTTCAGGCTGCAAAGGTTGACAGCAAGCTAGACAAATGGTAGGGAGCTTACTCCGACCTGGGCTGGCTTCGAACTCATGACCTTTTGGTCAGTAGTGATTTTAATGCAGCTGACTCCCAACCAGCTGCGCCACAGCCTGGTCCCGGTTGTAATTTTAGCAGTTCAGTATGTTGCATCAAGCAGGACCAATGTTCCTTATATATCACATAGGATAATTGTTGTGTAGGTCTTCATGACTATTTTCACCTTTATCTTATCAAAACATGTAAGATTCATAAAAAGAGACACATTCATACCTTGCATCCAGAATAAAAACTTTAGTAGCATGTGGATGGTTATTAATCCCCATGTATTCTCCAAGTAAACATAAATAAATATGTGAAACTTCTGTTGTTTCTTTTCTTGTGCTCATATGGTTCGTGCAAGGAAATTGTTTAAATATGGGGCTTGAGAAATCTTTATATCTGGGATGTATAGTTTATTATTACCATTGTGGGTATACATATGAGGCTATGTGTTTATGTACACATTTCAGAAAAGTCCCATATTCGTTCTGGCAGCCTTAGGTCTAAGGTTAATGGGAGTGAGCAATAACTGAAGACGGTTAGAATTTAAGCTAGAGATATTTCTAAGTTAATGATTTAAGATACAAGTGAAGGAAAGATGTTGGTCAGTCTAGTTTTGGAGCCAGAACATGGGAGGCAGAAGATTACAAAAACTTGAAAATTGAACAATTGTAATAGGTGAGTGTCAGGTCCAATTGGGACTACTTCAGAAATCCCTACCCTTTGGATAGCTATAACATATTTACAAGAAAATAGAAGAGTGCTGCTCAAAAACAGGAAATATTTAGGGCTTCCACACTTTTGTGGCACATTTTGCATCCAGCAAACCTATTCCCCATTTTCAGATTTTGAGCTCCTCCCAATTGCTTATGAGCATCCTCTGGTAAATTTGCATTAAATACAATTCTTTCTTTAAAAATGATCTGATTCTGCGTTGTTGTAGGTTTTTCAGGCTGTATGGCCATGTTCTAGAAGCATTCTCTCCTGACGTTTCACCTGCATCTATGGCAAGTATCCTCAGAGGTTGTAACCTCACAACCTCTGAGGGTGCCTGCTATAGATGCAGGCGAAACGTCAGGAGAGAATGCTTCTGGAACATGGCCATACAGCCCAAAAAATCTACAACAACCCAGTGATTCAGGCAGTGAAAGCCTTTGACAATACATTGATCTAATTCTGTTTTGGAATTTTTTTAAAGCAGTGATGGGACTCACATGTTGTTTGACTGCAGCTTCTGGCATTTGTTATCATTACATTTGCTAACAATTTGCAGTCCAACAAAATCTTCAGAGGCACATGATTTCTACTCAATATTACAGGAATCTCCTGGAAGGTCTTGAATAGCTTCTTGGCGCAATACAATAAGGGATAAATGCTCCTATCATACTTTACATCCACCCTGAGATATTCTGATATAGGCTGGGATATAAATATGTTAGGGAGCCAGTGTTGTTTGACTATGACTTTGGACACCAGGGTTCAAGTCCCTCTTCAATTATGGAAACCCACTGGTTGACCTTGTGCAAGGCAGACATTCCCAGCCTCAAAGGTACAAATTCTGCCCAGAAAATGGGGAGCATTGGGGTTCCCATATGTTGGAAATGACTTTGCCCAAGAAGGGGAGATTGGAAACAGGCCGATAGTTGACGAATTGAGTGGGGTCCAGTGATCGTTTTTTCAACAGCGGTTTTATCACAGCTTGCTTTAAGCTGGCTGGAGTTTTGCCTTCCCGAAGGGAGGCATTAACCACCACCAAGAGGTAATTGGTCTGAGCCTCTAAGCTAGGTGAGGGAGCTATGGATTTTGGGTTATTAATTCCAGTATTCTTCATCATTAACTCTACTGCTTGTAGAGGCTTGTCGTGTAACTACATTTGGAGGGTCACATGAATCCCACCCCTATTTTAATTAAAATATTTGCAGTTTCACATTGGAGATGTACAATTTGTGGCTCCAAAAAGAAGGCATTTTGCAAAGCAGGTCATTAGATGTTACTTGCCAGTAATGAAGAGTATAATTCGTTAATAATGTAGTTTATTGGAACTCTTGAAATCTTTAGAATTACTGGTGCTACCTTTTTCGCCAGATCATTACTTTTCTGCCCATCTTTGAAAATTCCAATTTCTTGGTATGGTTATATGAAATTTAGGTTCTAATTTATCAATGAGCATTTTTACACAGTTGGTTTTCACATCTGAATAATCTTTCTGATTGATATCTGTGAAGAAATTAGGATATCAGATGACTAACCTCTAAGATTTATCATCCATAAATTCGATGGAAGATCTAATAGCCAATTAATTGTTTTTCTCTAAGATGATTTCTGCCTGATAATTGTTTTAAGATGTGGGTTGGAAGAACTTTAATAGGCAAAGCATTTATTTTTTGATTATTTATTGACCGCTAATAATATGCAATCTTGTCTTACCATTATTACTTTTTTGCATTAGGGGAACCACAAACATTTTCACTGAAGTTTAAGAGAGCTGAAGATTATCCTATTGACCTTTATTACCTTATGGACCTCTCATATTCTATGAAAGATGACTTGGAAAATGTCAAAAGCCTTGGGACTTCTCTAATGAGTAAAATGAAGAACATCACTTCAGACTTTCGAATTGGTAGGTACTATTATTAGAATTTTGTGCTTTTCATACCCATCTTACCAACTGGGAGCCCCTAGTGAAGCAATGGGTTAAATGGTTGTACTGGCAGGACTGCTGACCAAAAGGTCGGTGGTTCGAATCCAGGGAGCAGGGTGAGCTCCCGTCTGTTGGCTCCAGCTTCTCAACAGAGAAGCCTTCCACAGGATGGTAAAACATCTAGGTGTCCCCTGGGCAGCGTCCTTGCAGACGGCCAATTCTCTCACACCAGAAACAACTTGCAGTTTCTCAAGTCACTCCTGACACACAAAAACCCCATAAATTGCTTGCTTTGTTGTCTGCTCTGTCTGTTTAGGGTGCATCTATCCTGTAGAATTAATGCATTTTGACATCCTTTGACTGCTGTGGCTCAATGCTATGGAATCATGGGAATTGTGTGGTCTTGAGTCTTCTCTGCCAAAAAGTGCTGTTGTCTCAAAGAACTTCAACTCCTAGGATTCCATAGCATTGATTTAATTTTAAATATGCAGTTTACTTCCATGCTGGGTTCCCATACACACACATTTCAGAAACCTTCACAGGAACCAGATAGTTTATTTGGTCTTTCAATGAGTAGCCTCCATTCCATGTATTTTGCTTCTGGTTGTTCAAATTCCCCATGGCTTGTAGGGAAAGAAAACATTATTTTGAGAAAGAAAGACAACCTACCAACAATTTTATCTTTTTCCACATGATGCTTTTTAATGTAGTGAGAAAGATAATTGTGTTTTATTTTTTAAAAAAATGTCTTATTCCTAGGTTTTGGCTCTTTTGTTGAAAAAACTGTAATGCCTTACATCAGCACCACACCTGCCAAACTCAGGAATCCTTGCACAGGTGACCTCAACTGTACCAGTCCTTTTAGCTACAGAAATGTACTCAATTTTACCAGCGATGGAAGTCTCTTCAATCAGCTTGTAGGTGACCAGCAGATATCTGGCAATTTGGATTCTCCAGAAGGTGGATTTGATGCCATAATGCAGGTTGCTGTTTGTGGAGTGAGTATATTTTAATTTATTTCCACTTCTGTTGTAAGTGCAGGTGGCTTGCATACTTGTTGTTGGTTTTCAGATTCAGTGGATATATTACATTTCAGTTTGCCATGCAAACGTGGATGGAAATGTTGGAACAAAAGTACATTTCACTTGTGTTTTCTAGTGGACTGTAATAAAGAACAAGATATTGCTGGTGCTGTGAATAATGTTGGGGCAAAAAAAAAAGAAAAAAGAAATGAAAACCAGAACCAAAGTTTGCAAATCTTACAATGCCATAATTCACAGTTTAACCATGAGCTGTAACAGTAAAGCGTTAAAATATTAAGAAGGAAATCTGTGGGCATGTTCAAAATAATCAAGTACTTGCAAGTCCATTTGGGCTTGTTGCAGCTCCTAACTTCAGAGTGATTGATGTGAACACATGAAGCAGTTATGCAGAGTCAGACCAATAATCCTTATATCCCAAATTTCTTTGTTATGGCTGGTGGTTTGGACACACCCAACTGCCTTGAGCATTTTAATGCAGGGATGCAGATCACAGAGGTCTAAGGTTTCCACTCAGTGGCCCACCACAGGTTGCACAAGGCCCCCAGGTACTAATCCAGGTACTAAAACCAGCAATGTCCAGATGTTCATTCCAGTTATATTAGGAGATAATATGGTGCCAGAAGATCTTAGAATGTACTTTCATGTAGGGGTGGGCAGTGGTTCTATATAACCCCCCATTGGCACTTCTAAATGCAAAATATAGTAGAAATAACTATCCACTTTTTATGTAACACCTCCCCCTCCTCATTTTATCAATCTGATTCACTTTCCCCTTCACCACAGCCCAATTAGTTTTGGAATTCTTCTAGACTTGCTTTTATGAGAATTCTTCCTCATTTTTAAAAAATACTATTTAGTTAGATTTTCAAAAACAAGTTATATCACTTTTCTGGATAGTCGTCTTCCTTCGTGATGCATTTTTCCTAGCGTTGTACTGACTTTTTAATACCATCAGCAAAAAATAGTTTTAGTTGCGCGCATTGCCACTGATGCACTGATTCATTGATGTGAATCAGTTTCAGGGTTCTTTCTTCATTCCCCATGGTCATGACTGTAGCTGGATGTCCAGAACACTCTGTATCCATGACTCTAGCACGTCATTTTCGATCATTTCAATCCACTCATAGACTACTCTACAAGAGAGAACTTTATCCCCACATTGAACATAGATATAGCAATGTATTTGTGCTCCTGGCACACCTGCCCACAAAAAAGTATGCCAACACTTTTCCTCTTTGGTGCAATCTTCACCAGTGTGACAACTCTTATACTAAACTGCAAAGTCACCTGGCTTGCCAGTCAGACTAGTCACATTACACTCTTAACACAAATAATTACTCCTCTTCCCATCCTCACCATTTCCAATGAAAATATAAAAGTGTGGAAACTTTTTGAATACCCTTTGTAGAAGACCATAGAAATCATAAGGAAAGTAGGGGCTCTTGAAATAAAAAAGTAATTCCTGGAATTACCTGTCCTTGATGAAGGCTTTCGTGGCTGGCATCACTGGGTTGCTGTGAGTTTTCTGGGCTGTATGGCCATGATCCAGAAGCAGTCTCTCCATACATTTCTCCTACATCTATGGCAAGCATCCTCAGAGGTTGTGAGGATGCGTCAGGAGAGAATGATTCTGGAACATGGCCATACAGCCCAGAAAGCTCACAGCAACCCATTACCTGACCTTTTTGTTTCATTTCATATGTGCATGTAGTTTTCAGTAAAATGTTTGCTGAAACACTGACCTGCCATTCTTCATTGTAGTGCAGGAACCGATTCTTATTCTTTCCATGTTATTTCTGCCTCTGGTATGAATTTTTTGTTGCCCAGGAACACATCCGCTTCATTAACTGAAGTATACCTGCACTTATTTATTAAAGTTCTTTTTCTCTTGCAGTCGAAAATTGGATGGAGAAATGTCACCCGCCTGCTGGTGTTTTCCACAGATGCTGGATTCCATTTTGCTGGAGATGGGAAACTTGGTGGAATTGTTTTACCAAATGACGGACAATGTCATTTAGATGATAATATGTACACAATGAGCCATTATTATGTAAGTATATTTAATGGTATGTTTGTTTAGCTAATACTCCAATGTGCACACGTTATTAGTATGCCTTGAAGATAAACAGCTGTAGACACCAGACTGCACACTAGGCCCTCCACCTTTGCAAGTGGAAAAAAACACTAAAAATGCTACTTTTTTCACCTGAGTGAATACCTCACTTGGAATCCCTAGATCCTACAGACTGTATGGTCACTTTATGCTGGACGTTAAGTAGAGAAATGTTCTTTGTAAGATTATCTTGGTTCTCCAGTGGAATCCTATGGTCAACTTCTAGCAAATCATAGTCACCCTGGAGATAGAATTTTTTTCTGTTCCTGGTTTTAAAGTGTTATTTCCTGTCTTGGAGATGTCTACGGACAACACCGGCTCTTTGGCTTAGAAATGGAGATGAGCACCAACCCCCGGAATCAGACACAACTAGACTTAATGTCAAGGAGAACCTTTACCTTACTTTAAAAAAAGAAATATATTGTGATCAGCATCTTTTTTCTTGTATAGATAACATATCACATTAAAATATGTAGAAAATACTTTTTTCTTAATGTTATCTAAATTTCATTTTCAGGACTATCCCTCCATTGCTCACCTTGTTCAGAAGTTAAGTGACAATAATATTCAGATCATATTTGCTGTTACCCAAGAATTTCAACCTGTTTACAAGGTAAAGATTGAATGGCATACATTTATTCTGTTGTGCATCTGTTATGAATTTATTGGATGTTTAATTGCAATCTCACAAGTAGCTTATTTGAGAAAACTTTTGAAAGCTGAAACACTGGGTATCAACAGTTATTGTGTTTCCCCAGTGAAGTTCAATCTAAATAGTATGTTTATCTTAATCTTCAAATGTGAATTGCCTTCTAGGCCTGTGAATAATGGAAATACTATTTTATATCAAGGACATTTTTTTAAAGTTGGCCTACTGGGCCCTGCATCCAACAACCTGAACTATTAATCTCGCTGTCCTGGTTATATTTTTAATATAATATTGTTTTCACTTTTCGTATGTAAAGGAGTTGAAGAATCTGATTCCAAAGTCTGCAGTGGGAACACTCTCTTCAAATTCCAGTAACGTGATCCAGCTGATTATTGATGCATACAATGTAAGTCTGCTTCAGTGAGTCACTTTCAGTATTCCTGCCAAATGCAACATTAGTTTTTATGAAGGATATGACCTGTCTCTCTTGATCAGCAACTCCATTACATATTAATTATATGTAGGGTATACTTATTCTAATAAGTCCCAAAAGAAGGACAGTATAAGTCAGTTACTGTAACATTCTGTGTTGGGGTTGCTGCTGAAAGTAAGGTCATGTAAAATAGTGCTCTGAAAAGTGTGTCTCTCCTGCACACTGTCCCACCGTGAATCTTTGCAGAGGCCTGAAACCCATTGATGAGCTTCTATGGGTTATTCATCTTCAATGACTTCAGGATTAATTACATTTATAACCTTTTATGTTGAAATGTAACAAGTAAGCAAATAAGAGGCTTTGAACATTCATGGATTGAGCCCTTGTTCCTCTTATGGGGGAAGGACAGGTTTTCTAGAAACTTGCAGAAACTGGCAATCTTGCCTTTTATTTCTGGAACATTGAAGCTTCTGTCTTCAGACTGCATTTCTCCTTTCTATTATTTTGTCATTATATATTCAGTTTAATATTCATAAGTAAGGATTAGGGTTTGAAAAACATGTCTCCTTATTCAAGGAGGCATGTTTTTGGAAAGAGTTTGATAGGCTCAACTATGTAAGAGACAAGGAAAACAAGAACTAATAGGCCTAACACTTCTGAGGCAGATTTGTTTCATATATACAAGAAAATACACATACAGTCAGCCCTCCTCATTGACAGATTCAATTAAAATGTTCTCTCTAGGTGGCCACAGTGGCCTATGCCTTAGTTACATCAAGAATGGACTACTGCAATGCACACTATGTGGAGCTGTCTTTGAAGATGGTTCGGAAACTGCAGTTAGTGCAAAGATTAGCAGCTGGATTACTAACTGGTGCTAGTTATAGGGAGCATACCATGCCTCTATTGAAGCAGCTCCACTGGCTGCCGACAAGTTTCCAGGCTAAATTCAAAATTCGGGTTATTACCTATAAATCCCTATACACTTCGGGTCCAAATTATCTTCGAGACCGCATGTCCTCCTTGTCCTTCTATGAACAAGTAAGGGCTCTTAAGATCTGCCGGGGAGGCCCTCCTCTTGGTCCCAACTCTGTCTCAAACGTGGCTGGTGGGGATGGGAGAGAGGGGCTTCTTGGTGGTGGCCTCCAGCTCTGGAATTATTTATTGTATCAGAAGTGAACCATGGGTGCAGTTGTAATGTATTTAAAAAGCACAAAGTTTAAAAACTTGGCATTATACTAAATCTCCTTTGACCAGTAGCTGGCCACTTGGGGTGCCTTTGGTGTTGTTATACAGAGGTCCTCCATTGTGCATGTGGCAGGGCTCAGGTTGCATTGTAATAGATGGTCTGTGGTTTGCTCTGGCCATGGCTTGAGGTTCTGTGTTTTGGCCTGCTACTTTTGGGCTCTCGCTTGCTGAGGTGTTCCTGTGGGTATCTCTCTAGATCTTAGAAAGCTTTTTTTAAATTAAGGCGTTGGCATGCTGGCTGATATCCAAACAGAAGATGTCACTGCCTTGGTCCTTTCATTCCAGAAGCTCTGTAATGCCCTCCCTAGAGAGATTAGGCTAGCCCCTACTCCCATGTTTTTTGGTGAAATCTGAAAACATGGCTCTTTAAACAGGCCTTTAACCATGATTAGTATTTTAATTGTTAAACTCAAGGACCTAGTGATTTGTTTCACTTTGGCACCTTATTATATTGATATTTGAATACAGCCTATTTTATATCCGCAGCCACTGGTGCATTTTACAGAATTTTAAATCAATAAGGTTTATACAATGTTTTATGTAAAGTTGTGTAAACTTACATTGTCATGGTTTTATATGCTTACGTATTTGTATATTTTATGTGTGTTTCACTTCCAAATGCTTTTGTGAGCTGCCCTGAGTTCCTTTCGGGAAGATGGTGGTGGGATATAAATAAAGTATTATTATTATTTATCATTTTCCAGTCTGACTCTACAGTCGATTTTAGCCAGAAATCGATCATAAAGTCATGTTGGAAAACCTAGGGATTCCTATAGACAACACCTTTTAAGGAATAATTGAGTCTGCCACTAAAGTCTGGTGGAGGTTGACTGTAGCATCATGCTGGAGAAGCTAGGTATTTTTATCTCTCAGATGGAAAAATATATATTGTGGCCTTTCACTTTTGTGGGGGTCCTGTGCCCCTAACCCAGTGAATGTGGAGGCCAGACTGTATACATATATGTGTATGTGTATGGTTAGGTTTCTACAAGGGAGAAAGAACAGCGCTGATCTTAACAGGAACACGTGATCCTTTTCAGTCTGAAATCCTACAGGAAAACTAGCACAGCCTCCAGTATGTGACTAATTGTGACAGGCAGGAGAATAATCCCCTGAAAACACATGATTCAAAGAGATGTGTCTTCCTGATTCCATTCAAACTGTCGAACTGTTCTATTTTAGTCGCTGTCTTCAGAAGTTATTTTGGAAAACAACAAACTGCCAAAAGAAGTCGCAATTGAATATAAATCGTTTTGCAAGAATGGAGTGAATGGTACAGGGGATGAAGGAAGAAAATGCTCCAACATTTCAATTGGAGATGAGGTACTGTTTTGTATGATGGGAAGAATACATGCAAAATTTGATTTGTTTCGTGTAAGTTTTGGATGCCTCATAGCATAAGAATGATCCTGCATAAACTTCCCCACCCTCTCTTTCATTCTCTTACAATAAAATACCTACACATCACTTATATTGTCTGTTTCCTTTTCTTACAGGTTAGGTTTGAAATTAAAGTAACAGCCAGCCAGTGTCCAGAAAAAGGGCAAAGCGAAACCATTAAGATCAAGCCGTTAGGTTTTACTGAAGAGGTAGAAATTAACCTGGAGTTCATCTGTGAATGTGACTGTCACAACGAAGGGATTGCTGACAGTGATCTTTGCCACTTTGGAAATGGAACCTTTGAATGTGGTGCTTGCAGGTATATATATATTTATATTCCTCAAAAGAATATAAACATAGGCAAAAAGCTTCCATTGTTTATAGCCTTCGCAAATATCTGACTCTTGGATGAATTGTGTTGTCCAAATGCTTGCACTGATATATCCTTTGAAGCACAGTATGTCACAGCAAACTAAATCTGTATGCTGGATTTCGTATCACAAAATCATAAGTCGAACACTTCCCAAGCGTCTAGAACTGTGTGATGTATTTTCGAATGATGTGCGCAGATCCAAGTAAGGTGGCCTTTTGCAGTTGACAGATCGTGATTTTGTCGATGTTTATTGTTTCCAAATGCCGGCTGAGATCTTTTGGCACGGCACCCAGTGTGCCAATGACCACTGGGACCACCTGGACTGGTTTATGCCAGAGCCTTTGCAGTTCGATTTTGAGGTCTTGATAGCGGCTGAGTTTTTCCTGTTGTCTTTCCTCAATGCGGCTGTCACATGGTATGGCAACATCAATAATCCAGGCTTTTTTCTTTTCCACAATCGTGATTGTCTGGTGCATTGTGTTCCAAAACTTTGTCAGTCTGGATTCAAAAGTCCCACAGTATTTTTGCATGTTCATTTTCCACGACCTTTGCAAGTTTATGATCTCACCAATTCTTTACTGCTGGCAGGTGGTACTTGTGACATAAGTTCCAGTGAATCATCTGGGCCGCAGAGTTGTGTCTTTGTTTTTAGTCCGTCTGTGCGATTTTCTTGCAACAGCTGAGGATATGACCCATGGTTTCATCAGCTTCCTTGAAGCTATTGTTGTTATTATTATTATTATTATTATTATTATTATTATGAGATATGAGAGTAGAGGATTGTAGTGAAATCTACCTTTTAGGCGACCAGGCCAAAGCCTGAATATCAGTAGCTGTCATCTTGAAAGACAGGCAGAGGCAGGAGGAGTCAAGCCGACTCCTGATTGGGTAGAGCAATTAGGAGAGGAGTCGGTTGAGAGGGGAAAAGGCTGTCAGCTCTTGACAGAGAGAGAGAGAAGTGTCTTGACATCAGACACAGAAGGATATGATTTTAGGAGAGGAAGCTAGATAGAGTTCTGACAGGGAAGAAGAGTTTTTAAAGTGAGCCTTAAGGTTAGGGAATAAGGTTGAGACAAAGGCTAGGGTTTTACTGTGTTAAGAGGACCAGTAAAAGAGAGTTTTGTCTTATTAAACTTAGGAGAAGTTTAAGATATCTTATTGCCCTGTGTGTGAGACAGACAGGAGTCTGTTCTCTAAGAGATACTGTTTCTAAGTATAGAGCAGTGTGTTTAAGGAAACTCACAGTTTTAAAAGCTTTATTGTCAGTAACACTACTTGTTTAAATATCTAAGTCTCTACAACTGAATTACGCTTCTGTACCGCTCATTCCATGAGTAGATGTTTGTTTAAAGCTCAATAAACCTTTTCTAGTTCACTTTTAACTGGTGTCAGCTTCAGTTTGTCAAGCACTTTTAAAGTCCAGTCAGTCAGTTAAGAAGTAATAGAAGATACCCAGGGCAAACACACCTTTACCTACAACACATTCACACCTTTGGTTCCTCAGACCAATAAAGCTGAGGTGGTGGCGGCTAATACTACCAATAACATCGGTCATTTATAATACTTTATTATCCCTTGCTTTGGTGGCAGAGGTGGGATTCTTTATTTTCCCCCTGCCCCAGGTATCTTTGATTTTTATTATATTGGTGGCAGCGGTGGGATTGTTTGACCACCCTGCCCAAGATGTGGCGCTTTAATATTTATTATAAGGATGCTTGCAAAAAATCCCATTTCTGACAATTTGGCCAAAATTATCAATTTTCCTTTGTAGGTGTAAACCAGGACGCATTGGGAAGAAGTGTGAATGCAGCATAGAAGAAGTGAACAGTGAAGACATGTCGGGAACCTGCAGAGCAAGCAACAGTTCAGAAATATGCAGTAACAATGGGGAATGTATCTGTGGGCAGTGTGTCTGCAAGAAAAGAGAGAATGCAAATGAAATCTACTCTGGCCAGTATTGCCAGTGTGATAATTTCAACTGCGATCGATCGGATGGTTTGATTTGTGGAGGTAATTAACTGATTTTCCACCAGCTGAGCTTTTGAAAGACGCTGTAAACAAACAAACATTTTCTAATAGTTGCAGAAATTAATAAAGGAGATATGAATCTATCAAATTAGGAGCCGAACTTCAGTTGGCTGTTGCTTTGTTCAGAAAGTTTTAATTAATATAGGTGCCTTGCATCTGAAACTAGTATGTTTGGAATATGATGTAGGAATATAGATTATTCTATATAGTAGGCAAGGTTCAGGAAACGAATCAGAAGGTAATCCCTTTGGAAAAAGAGAACTTTTGAATGCCATCCTATATTTGCCTTTTAACATCTAACGGCAGATCTCACTGGTCTGCTAAGTATTTGCCATGCAACTTGGTATACAGTGATACCATCATTTGGCAAAGGAAATCTAAACATTTTTACAATACAAATGTCAGTGCAAATACATTGTGCATAAGAGTTAAGCTGGCATTGCTTGCTTGCTTTCCTCATCTGTTATCCGTATCTGCTTATTTGGAAATTATTTTAATGCTCAGCAAATGAATCAAACGGAGAAAGTCATCTTGCAGGCCCAACTGACAGAGATTTACTCTTGGTACAATAAAAGTATGTCATTTATTTCACTTAGAGAATACTAAATGGACATATTAACTATGCCTTTTCTATGTTTAATTAGGACATGGTGAATGTAAATGTCGTGAGTGTGACTGCTGGGGCAATTACACAGGCTCCGCATGCGAGTGCCCTCTGGATACTACCCCGTGTGTAGCCGCCAATGGGCAAGTCTGCAATGGCAGAGGGATCTGTGAGTGTGGAGTCTGCAACTGTACTGATTCCAAATTTCAGGGACCAACATGCGAGTTGTGCCAGACTTGCCTTGGAGTGTGTGCAGAGCACAAGTAAGACTTTTGTAAATCTCTCTATGCTTCCCGTATCTCTCTTACTTCGATGGCAGCTCCATTTCCAATCTTTGGCTCTCTTTCTGCTAACAAAAGACTCTTTTACGAAGGCAAGCTTTTGATTTCCACTGTGCTTTTACCTTTTTCGTATTAATTTTTTGTGTGTTTTTAATAGAATTGTTGAATTGTTTTTTGTGATTTTTGGACTAATAGACTTTGCATATTCTTTGTTATGGAGCCCTCGGTGGTGAAATGGGTTAAATCCTTATGCCGGCAGGACTGCTGACCAAAAGGTCAGCGGTTCGAATGTGAGGAGCAGGATGAGCTCACATCTGTCAGCTCCAGCTTTTCTCATGTCGAGAGAAGACTCCCACATGATGGTAAAATATTTGGGCGTCACCTGGGCAACATCTTTGCAGACAGCTAATTCTCTCACACCAGAAGCAGCTTGCAGTTTCTCAAGTCACTCCTGACACACAAAAATGTTTGTTTCAATCTGTTGTAAGCAGCATTGACTCTTGACCTGAAAGAAAGGTAGGATATACATCAGTCGGTCGGACGAATGTTATATTTTTATATATCTCTTCTCATAGGGATTGTGTCCAGTGCAAAGCTTTTAACAAAGGAGAAAAGAAAGAGCGTTGTGAGGAAGAATGCTCACATTTTAGCTTGAAACAAGTAGACCGTAGAGAGAAGTTGCCGCAGCCTGGGCAGTATGATGCCCTGACCCATTGCAAGGAGAAGGATATTGATGACTGCTGGTTTTATTTTACATACTCAGTTGACTCAAACAACAAAGCTGTTGTCCATGTGGTGAAGACACCAGGTATTTTTTTTCCTTTTCATGTGAATTATTTACTTAGTACTCCTCAACAATTTCTCGGGATATGATATTATATTTCAATAGTAATTCTAATACAAACTTTTACTGTTTTATATTGTAAGCTTTGGAAAGGTTTTGGTCATGACGTCAAGAAATATATTAAATTGAGAAATAAATTAATACAATGGATTGCTGTGAGTTTTCTGGGCTGTATGTCCATGTTCCAGAAGCATTCTCTCCTCCACGCTTCCTCCACACCTATGACAGGTATCCTCAGAGGTTGTGAGGTCTGTTGATAACTAGACAAGTGAGTTTTATATCCAGGGTGCGAGAAAGCACTCTTGTCTATTAGAGGCAAGTATGAATGTTGCAATTGGAATGTTGCACTTGGAACACAAAGGGGAAAACCATGAAAATGAACAAAATCTGGCTACCAGTATTTTAAAAAAAACAAAATCGGGATAGTAAATAAAGAACAACACTAAAAAACAGGGAAATTCCAGAAAAGAAACAATCAGGACCAGCTAACACTCCGAACAAAGGATGCCTTCAGGCAGGAAGCAGCCAGACTTTGAAGCTGCAAGACCATTCGGTGCTAATCAAGGTGGCTAATTGCAACATTCACACTTGCCTCCAACAGACAAGAGTTCTTTCTTCCACCCTGGACATTCCACAGATATATAAACACAGATATATGCCTGCCATAAATGTGGACAAAACATCAGGAGAGAATGCTTCTTGAGCATGCTTATACAGCCCGGAAAACTCATAGCAACCCAGTGATTCCGGTATGAAAGCCTTCAACAACAAATTAATACAATGTTTAAACCCCTTTCCCTTTTCTTAATTAAGCCACATGTGCTTTGTAAATATCGAGGGGTTTAAGCAAAACCTGTAGTTTCATTAATGCAATTAGGTTCACACTAGTTTGCCCAAAGGGACACTATTTGAGTTGATTACCATTGGGGAAAGGAAGCTCTTGTTGGTATGCCTCTATTAATGCTTTCACCTGTGGACAGTTTGAACCTAAAATTACTCTCAGAAGGCTGTGACGACTAAACAATCAAAAAAATGTTTTCAAGATGATGCCTTAGGTCAGTGGAGGGCAACTTCTGTGAGCATGGATTACACTCCTCACACGCTGCAACCATTCCCATTCAATTTTTCTGAAAAAGCTACTGACCAGATGGTGACTTCTTGTTTGAAAAAACATTGGGGGAAGTCTCCAGAATTGTTAGTCTTCAAGGTTTCTGAGAACAAATTCGTTTGTTTTGGTGGTGGTATTTGGGGGTTGCAGAGATGGATTAGGGGGTTACACGTTACCCATTTATCAGAGGATTTCTAAATTGAAAAAAACAGCTTTACCAGATTATAATCCGTGTCAAGATTAAAGTCATAAGGGAGCATTCTTTTTATACTCCTAAGAGTATTAAGGGCAGTAGAAATTATTGATATCTTGTTAGCTACAACTACTGTGCATTTCTGTAGTGTTGATTTTACTTTATGCTTCAATGATTTTGTCCCCCAGAATGTCCAACAGGTCCGGATATCATTCCCATTGTTGCTGGCGTAGTTGCTGGAATTGTTCTTATAGGTCTTGCTCTTCTGCTGATTTGGAAGCTGCTTATGATCATTCATGACAGAAGAGAGTTTGCAAAATTTGAGAAAGAAAAGATGAATGCAAAATGGGATACGGTAAGTCACAATGCGAGACAGCCTTTGGAGCGTGTAACCTATTTCTGCTTCAGATAAAAATCTTCCAACTACTTCATCACACTAGAGAATGAATCCACTTCAAATCTGGTCTCTGCCTCCTGCAAAATTCTGGGGTTTGTAGTTTGGAGAGGCAGTTAAAGGCTCCTCCCTAAACATAAACAAATATGAATTCTGCACGAGGCAGCAACTGGATTTAAAGTGGATTCATTCTCTAGTGCAGTGGTTCTCAACCTGTGGGTCCCCAGGTGTTTTGGCCCACAACTTCCAGAAATCCCAGCCAGTTTACCAGCTGTTAGGATTTCTAGGAGTTGAAGGCCAAAACATCTGGGGACCCACAGGTTGAGAACCACTGATCTAGCGTGATGAGGTCTTAAAAGAGCTTTCTTCTCTACAGATCTCAAAACAATCCCGTGAGGAGACAGGGTTCAGCGGACTAAATAACTTGGATGGCCTCTTTTCTGAGAATTAATTCTTCAATTATGTTACCTATTTTTACCAGATAAAAGTAATGAGTTAAACCCTTGTGCTGGCAGGATTGCTGACCATAGGTCAGCGGTTCGAATCCGGAGAGAGGGTCTTGAGCTCCCTTTGTCGGCTGCTGCTCTCCATACGGGGACATTAGAGAACCCTCCCGCAAGACTGGTAAAACATCAAACATCTGGGTGTCCCCTGAGCAACATCCTTGGAGACAGCCAATTATCTCACACCAGAAGCGACTTGCAGTTTCTCAAGTTGCTCCTGACATGGGAAAAAAAACAGATAAAAGACCACAGTAGCTGGTCAGCTAACTAGATAGTTGTCAAGAGAAGTTAATTTCTGTGCATTCATTCAGTATCTGTTCTTCATTTCATCATAATGTAGTTTGAGGATATGCTGAGGATACATATGTGAAATATAGAATATATGCATTACGTCTTATTTAAATGTTGGCAAATTTACTTTCAAAACTGGTATCCAGAAATTGTGTTGTACTGAAGATGCAAACACACCCTATGAGGAGGTTCCCCATCCTTAGCAAACTGCAGGGCTTTAAAAGAATTAAGCTTTAGTAGAAAAAATATATTCAATAAACTAACAAGTTTATGTAGATACAGCATGACCTCTTGTTTTATGTTTGAGAATGCTTTGTCTCTTCTGTATTCCACATTCATCATTTTTCTGTCTATCTCAGCAAGAAAATCCAATATACAAGAGTCCTATTAATAATTTCAAGAATCCAAACTATGGACGTAAAGCTGGTCTCTAAGTTTCCGTTCGTATTTTCTTCTCCATTTCTTTCTCTATGCATGTTCTTTTCTTCAGACTCACTGTATGCATCTTAAACTAACCACTGCTTGACTCTTACATTTTACCAGCTGCTTTAAAAAATAGAGGATGAGAAAAGAGGAGGGGGAACAACTCCTTCAAGTCTTAATCTGAAATGTAGATGCCCACTAAACTGAGCCACCACCTTTTAGGAAGAGTTTGCCTCACCATATAGTGTCAGTTCCAGAATCTTGATGATTCTTGAAAAGTTGTTCCACAAAAAAGGTGGGGTATGTTTTAAAAAGCTTTTTGCATTGCCCACAACCTTCTCAGATGTTCCCACGTGAAGGGAGAATAGCACTGCTATTAGTGCAGTGGATCCTTTCCAAGGGTGGGGCTTTCAGGAAATGTAAAGATATTTTAGCTTTCTAATCCAGGTCACTAAAGCATGACCGCAGTCCATATCATAGAATCATAGAGTTGGAAGAGACCTCGTGAGCCATCCAGTCCAACCCCATTCTGCCAAGAAGCAGGAAAATCACATTCAAAGCACCCCCAACAGATGGCCATCCAGCCTGTGTTTAAAAGCCTCTAAAGAAGGAGACTCAACCACACTCCAAAACAGAGAGTTCCACTGCTGAACAGCTCTCACAGTTAGGAAGTTTTTCCTAATGCTCAGGTGGATCTCCTTTCCTGTAGTTTGAAGCCTACACGTTCCACGTCCTACTCTCCAGGGCAGCAGAAAACAAGCTTGCTCCTTCCTCCCATATGATGATGCCTCTTTCATATGGAAAAGAATAACGGATATGAATCTTCACTTCTGGATAATACAATACATTGCATGCCAATGGTCCCCAAGGTTTTCAGACCTGTAGCCATGAATTGAAACATTGATGAAAATGTATTAGGCAGCATGTTTAATATCTAGCCATGAATATGGCTAGATATTAAACATCCATTTTTATCAGAGACAAACAGGTGAGTCTAAAAGGCAAGAAACATAAATACCCACTGCATAGATACACACGTTTTCTACTACTTTTATCTCCATGGTCAGTTCACTCTTGCACCAGACCACGATGGTTCTGCTGCCAATTCTTAACATCTCTTAACATGTTTGTTGGTCCTGGTGTCCCAAGTCAGTGTCCCCAATTTCCTATCTGTACCAGGCAGTTGGGACATACTGCAAAGCACTTGAAGTTCATAGTCTAGGGGAAATAATACTGATAAATATTTGCTCTTTGCCCATTTTCTGCTTGTTAGTAATGTCACAATTTCTGTCCCTTTCCTGTTTGAGACTCTTCAACTTCTATCTTTAATTTTAAAATGCGTAACTAGATCAGTTTCTATCAGATTCATAATTACATTTCAATTATTTTCTTAGCTCATGACTGACAAGAGCATTTCTCAGCTAGCACTTTATTAACCAGATAACTATAAAAAGAGATGCTTCCCAAGTACTACGTGAAGGAAACCTAGACTGTCATTGAAGCAGCGGCATATGTCTCCACTCTGGAGGACTGACAGTAACAGAACGTTGTCCCAGAAAAATAAAACATTTGGCTAGTTATTCTCCTTGATGTTTTCTGTTCGAATATATTTTTGACAAAATAAATGTGCCTAGCCTTACATCTTGTGAGAGTTTCTTAGATTATGCTTTTAAGCATTGCCATAAGCAAGCTGAAATAATTCTAACACACATATGCACATAAATGTGTTGCATGGTTATGAGCATAGAAACATTTGATTAGCTATGTCTTCATGTGTGAAAACAGGGGAAATAATTACAACTTTTTTTCCAGAGTAGTGCAACAATTGTGGGGAAAGGCAAGGCAGAATCTCTGAGCAACCAAGTTCTCCACTTCCATATTTATTTTATATCAAGACTATACCCCTGCTTTCTTCACTTGCAGCTACACTTGTAAACTACACCAATGTATTTTCAGCCAGTACAGTATGACCCCCATATCCATAACTATACCTTCTCAAATCTTTGTGTAGATACACGAACCTGAGGATAATAGCAAACCTTATTGAAACAAAGGCCTTCTAGGCCAAACATATGATGCAGTCACACTGGAGGACTTCGAAATGCCTAGAGCAGTGGTTCTTAACCTGTGGGTTCCCAGGTGTTTTGGCCTACAACTCCCAGAAATCCCAGCCAGTTTACCAGCTGTTCAATCACAGCATCATTGAGTTGGAAGAGACCTCATGGGCCATCCAGTCCAACCCCCTGCCAAGAAGCAGGAAAATTGCAATCAAAGCAGCTCTAACAGCCATCCAGCCTCTGCTTAAAAGCCTCCAAAGAAGGAGCCTACACCACACTCCGAGGCAGAGAGTTCCACTGCTGAACAGCTCTCACAGTCAGGAAGCTCTTATTCATGTTCAGGTGGAATCTCCTTTCTTGTAGTTCGAAGTCATTGTTCCGAGTCCTAGTCTCCAGGGCAGCAGAAAACAAGCTTGCCTCCCTCCTTCCTATAACTTACTCCCTATGAAGGCCAAAACATCTGAGGACCCACAGGCTGAGAACCACTGGCCTAAAGAGATTTTTTTTTTGAAATGCATGTAAGTGAAGCCAGCCACATTTGTCAGTTCAGTGGAGATCGATGTCATACTGTATCCAGCACTTTAGATGTTAGAAACTGTACATTGGGGGTTGAGTAATGCTCAATTCTTGTGTATAATCCAACCTTATCTTCCTAAATCTCATCAACGATAACATAGATGTGTGCTGCATTATGCAGTCCAGTTAGGTAACAGTATTTGTAAAGTTAGTATAAATCAGAGTAATGTCATATCTACACAATTCAAAAGACATACTTGTCTGTCCTTAGTATACAGCTTATTCACAGAGCACTAGTATTTGAGTAATAAACCTTTTTCTGCCTGCCCGTTTCGCCGTTTGTCAGCTCTGCACTTGAATAGTCAAAGACAAATAGTTGTATTCACTTTGGACTGTGTGTATCTCACTCTATATATAACTTATTAAATCCTATTATGAATCCTGCATGTTGATCTTCATTACAATACAAAATGAAGCTGTGTTTATATTTAAGGTCAAAAACACTCAAATCCACAGTTGGATACTGCATTTCATGATGCGCAGTGATGAACTCATTTGGTTAGCAGTTTGAATTCTGAAACTGAGCCTAACCTGCAAACTTATGCTCACTTCAGCTGCCTTGACAGACTTTTCTTCTTCTGCTATCCTCTATATTTCCTATCACCTACACTGAGGAAAAATTCTAGACAACATGAAACTTTTGCATACTTCTGTGGATTTTGGATTAGTGAAACAATTATGAAAACCATATATATGGAGCTGATAGTTTCTGAATGTTTTTGATGTGTCAGTTTTGTTTTGCATTTGGAAAGAATGTACCTAAAGCCCCTGATATAATTCCATGTGCATGGTAGTGAGTGGGAGCCTGTGAAAGGCATGAATCATTAACATTCATATAATTATCAAATGTTTTAATTATGCCTTTTACTAATGTAAATAAATGTACATGTTTAAGTTAAAAGTGCTATCAAAGAAATACTGCAAACTGCCATTTCTTAACCCTCTTGCACACTCTAAAATAATACATCATAATAGACTTGAGGCTTAATGAAAAATTAAGTTGTTAAAACAGTCACTTTCTTCTTTTTTTCAAAAATGATATACTTACCTAGTGATGGTTTGTGGGAACAATCGGTTGAACATGCATATGGAGCTCTGGATTGGTTTGGCCATGTCTGCAAATATTGTCAATACTTGAGCTTTAAAAAGCCCTTTCATCACTTGTCACCTTGATATTAATTGACTTTTTCTTTCCTTCTAGGGTGAAAATCCTATATACAAGAGTGCAGTGACAACTGTAGTGAATCCAAAATATGAGGGAAAATGAAAACTGCTTTTTAACTTCAACACTGTATGCAATGTAGCAATTTTGTAGTCACAGTAACTTAGCTTTATTAATTCATTTCTTACATATAGGTTTGTTTCCTATGCAGACTTTGAAAATGTACAGTATGCTTTTTATTTTTGAAGTGTTTTCCTTTTGTGTTTTGCAATGAACAATGCCAGGGGACTGATAGAAAACTTGAGACTGCGTAGCCTCCTCAGCTAAGGTCACTTGGTGCCTTTTTGAACCTTTCCCTCCTGCGCCTGGAGAGAAATGGCGAAAGCAATCAAACAGAGGGGCTCTGCTTAGCCATTAAGTATTAAAGGTAGATGGGTTTTTAACTTTATAGGCACATCAGGGCTTGGTTTGCACTGCTCAAGTGCAGCCACACAATTCTTTCTGAACTACAGAACTTCAGCTTGTGAGCAATGAATGGAATGTTTAGAAATCTGAACCTCATTTGGATACATTTGGTACAAGATGGAAATCATGCAGCAAAATTGACAATTTATTATGTGCATAAACATTTTAATCTGTCGAATGTTACATATAACGATAGACCCCAAACAATAGCCTTACCGGTTGTGCCATTCCTTTTCATGCTGTAGCTGCACAGTAACCTCAGAACTTCTTTGTGAATTCAAGTCTGGCTTTAGAACTGAACATTAGTCTGCCAAGATGATCTTCTAAACGTATTAGGGCCTTAACTCATTAATGCGCTTGTTTAATTTTCTTATTTGGGTTAAAGCCTGGTGCTGTGTCACCTTTTTAAAATTGTGTTTTGCTTTCATTATGTGTAAGTAAGGTTATTGTTGTCAAAACATCTTGATTTTTTTCCAGTCTCGGTTGTAGATTTGCAGCAGAGAGCTTAAGATTACATAATTGTCATGTACCATGACTGTCAGCCAGATAATTGTTTCTGCCAATTGTATATTTGCCTTTGATCCTTCTAAATACTAGCCACGTTCTTATTTTAAGTGCCTTTTGTTTTAACAAATGTTCACTTTTTACAGTGCTATCATGAAAGTTATTTATTAAATAAAAAAAATTAAAACATACTGAAATTTCTATGTTGTGCCTTTTCTATTGAGAAAAAATATAAAGGAAAGCTGACCCATTATCCACATTATCTGAAAGGTTGCCAGTTCAAAGCCCGGGTTGGGGTGAGAACCGAACTGTTAACCCACTCACTGTTTACCTAAGCAGTTTGAAAACAGCTTAGAGCTGTAAGCAGAGAAATTAGGTACCACTAAAAAGTGGAGGAGATATTTTACGACACTATAAAGAAAAAGACCATAAAATGTCAGCAACTGAAAGGAAGGAGAAAGTCCTGATGGCTCTTCGTCATAGAGGCTGGAGCAACAACACCGTCCTGTGGCTGGATTTGAGCACAACCTCCAAAGGCGCCAAAAGCAGGATATCAACACCTCATACCTCCTTTCTGTCCTATCTGGCATTGAATGTGTACTGTGATCCACCCTGAGTCCCCTTGGGGAGATAGGGTGGAATATCAATAAAGTATTATTATTAATTATCCATTTAGTAAAAACTAGTGGAATAGAATTCCACCCTTAGCATGTAAAAAATGTATTTTTATTTCTGGTGGCCATCCAAGTTAGTTTTAGCCCAAACTCAGTTTCTTTCAAGCTTGGTTTTATGTGGTCTGGAGTCCGTATGCAACATGAAGCCCTAATATAATTGTCCATGCACAGCTGTGGATGCATTTGATGATCTCTGTGAGGCCTATTTTGGGAGACTGGACTCACAGCAGTCATATTATGCAAAGCAACCCCACAGCTCCCCTTCCAAAAAACCAACCTGTCCAGTCACAAATTAACCGGTTGTGTTGGGAATTTGGCACACGAGGGGTTTTCAGCAGGAGTGCATGCCATTACCAACATGAGTTCTCCCTGTGTAAGAGCCCCCACCCCTTTCGGAATTGTCCCAAGGGTGAGACAAATCAGTGGAGTCAGGGTAACAACTGGCAGGACAAATTAGAGGTGGTCCAAATCCACCGGTGAAAGGGCCCCAGTCCACAAAGAATTGGCCTGCTTATAACCATTGCTACACAACTATCCTAATAAGGATACAGCGCATTTCCTTGTGGAGGATTTTAGCCTGGGTTTCTGTATCCCATATCAAAGAATACACAGACCAATGACATCTGGGAACTTGCGCTTCATTAGGGGCCTGGAGCAATTGTTCGAGAGAAGATCCATAAGAACTTTTTAGGCCCCTTTGTTCCCTCTCCCCATTTCCTAATTTGCATATACCCCTTTTGGACATAGTTCCTAAGAAAGCCTCAAGCAAATATCTATATATATAAATTTGTAAGGGTCGTTAAACGGAACAGCAAAACTCAAAAAACCCCCAATGGAAATTAACCAAAATTCCCATGCACATACCTCAACCCACAAGGTACAAACAAATTGAATCAAAATGAAAACACAACAACACACTCACAAAATGACAAAACAACTGAGCATGCACAATGGAACCCAACCGCAAGTTCCCTGGCGCGCGCACATGGCCTGCCGGCCAACGCTCCGTCCGCGCAAGCCACGCCCCCATCCTCCATGCCCCCATCCTCCATCTTCCCCCACCGAAGCCCGCCCACTACAAGCCCCGCCGCGCCAGTTCGGTGGAGCAGTGCGGATTTGGTGGTGGCTCTTCGCTCCAGCTCCCGGGCGACTGCGTGGCGGCACTTCCAGGAGAGGGCCATGTGGTGTTGGCGTGCAAGGCGACCCTGGAGGCGTGGGCGGTGCGGGGAAGCAGCCTGGAGCTGGACTCGCGCCCGCGCTGGAGGAAGCCCCTTGCGGCCTCAGAAGCGCCAGGCCTTGCCCGCCAGGAGCGCCAAGGCGGTGAGGAGGGAGGGGAAGGGGAACTCAGAGGGCATCCAGCCCGGCCCCATCCCTCTGGCCCAGCCCTTGCTGAAGAATAATAATAATAGAATCCTAAAGTGGGAAGAGATCCCTAAAGGCCATCCAGTCCAGCCTCCTGCCTTCATGCAGGAAGCGCACCATTAAAGCCCTCACCGCAGATGGCCCTCCAGTCCAGCCCCATCTTGGCAGGAAAGGAAGCACCATCAAAGCCCTCTCCCGACAGATGGCTATCCAGCCCCTGTATAATAATAATAAGAAGAAGTTGGAAGGGTCCCCCAAATGTCATCCAATCCAGCCCCCTTCTGCTAGAAAGGAAGGCACCATCAAAGCCCTCCCAACAGGTCTATACCTGCTTAATAATAATACAATCCTCAGAATTGGAAGGGATCCCCAGAGGCCATCCAGTGCAGCCTCCTCCTGCCTTCATGTAGGAAAAGCCCTACCGAGGCCCCGCCCCTGCACTCCTCCTCCTCCTCCTCCCGCCCCCCTCCATTGTAGCTGCTGGGATTTATAGTTTACCTATAATCAAAGCATTCTGAACTCCACCAATGATGGAATTAAACCAAACGTGGTACACAGGACTCCCAAGACCCAACATAAAGCACGAAAAGGGTTTGGTAAGCAATGGGAAGGAAGAAAGGAAGGAGGGAAGGCAGGAAAGAAAGAGGTACCGAAGGAAGGAAGAAGAGAAAGTAGAAAGGAAAGAAAAATAAAAGGAAGGAAAGGCAGGAAAGAGGTAAAGAAGGAAGGAGAAAAGAAAAGAAAAAGTGAAAGAAGGAAGGAAACATGGAGGGAAGAAAGGAGGCAAAGGAAGAAAGGGGGAGGGAATGAAGGGAAGAGAGAAGGATGAAACCAAGGAGTGAAAGAAGGAAAGAAAGAAAGAAAGAAAGAAAGAAAGAAAGAAAGAAAGAAAGAAAGAAAGAAAGAAAGAAAGAAAGAAAGAAAGAAAGAAAGAAAGAAAGAGGTAGAGAAGGAAGAAAGGAGAGAAAGGGGGAGAAAAAGGGGGAAGGAATAGGTAGGGACCTCTCTTTCATAACACTCCAGATATCTACCTCTACTTTGAAAAGTTTTACTATAGGCCACAGCAACGCGTGGCAGGGTACAGCTAGTAGATTAATATACCACTTATCTCACCCTGGTAGCCGATCTATCAATAATGCTATTCTTGCTGACTTGTGCTCATTCGACCAGGCTGTTCATAAGTTTTGCAAAAGAGGAAACCTTTGCACATACTGTTTTTCAAAAGCCTGAGTTTTACAGGTCAGATGGTGTACATTTGCCTACGGAAGGGAATAACATGCTCCTCTAACAGATTTAAAAAGGGGTTTAGAGGATGCATTAAAAACTCTGATGGGTGAAAGACGCTAGGCGGACGCACGAGTCTTTCTGTGGCAGGAAGTGGGGGGAGAACATGGATCGGTGTGCACCTTGATGCCCCCTTTTGGGGTGAAGAGGGACTTTTGGAATGGCCTCTATAGGTTCTGGGCCTTAAGGTGTTCCCCAAAATATCCACTTTGGTACATACCTGGGGGGCTTACCTCTCTCCTACTGGGTTCTGGGGCTTGGGAGGGGGGACCCCTGAGATGGCCTTCCATTAATGACCAGCCAGGATAGCAAGCCATCTCTGTGGAGTGGCCCCAGTGTCAGGACCTTTGCCCAGAGGTTGGCTTGGCAGGTAGTGAGAGAATGATACTTGGCCTTACGTCATTGCTCATGTCGCAGTATTCCCCCCACAGAAGTTACTTAGTTACATTTACAAGTTTCAAATAGGTCAATAAGTGGCCCTTTGTTTCTCCATACTTCTGTGTCTGGTCTTTTTATTTCATGGTAGGGATTCAACAGGAGAATGCAATAAATTTGAAGATGAACCACTACCAGCTCAAAGGGGATATAAGCTAGCATCACAGCAGAATTGCATGAGCAACAGAGACAAATAATTAGGTCTCCATCGTAGAGGACAGTAATTCCCCTTGATTGAATGCCTCTATCAAGTTAAGAAAGTCCTCTTTTGAGTTTAACATATATGATTACTTTCCATTTGCCTCTCTCTTTGAATACAAAGATGATGCAGTAGATGCCTGAGGATATTTCAACAGGCTGGAACCAAGCAATTTTTTAAAAGGGAAGTTTCTCAAGTCGCTCCTGACATGGAAAAGAAAAAAGGCAGATCAGACCTTCACTTAGTGTCTGGAATACCTAAAAATAAAAATGTTCACTTTAGCAAGGCAAAGAAGCAACGAGACGGAGAGTCAAGGGCAGCTACTTTTATTCATATGATGTTCTTACCTCTCCTGGATGGTGAGTGGAAGACAACCTGCTCCTCCAGAGATTTCATGAATGACCTCAGAGAATTCCAGAGTCTGGTTTGTTTCAAACATCTGATCACACAGCTAAAAGTGCCACACAAGAAAGCAAACCGTAATTTTGATTAGGACTGTTGCAACTGTGTTCTGCTGAAACCATTAAAATGTAGTGATCTGCATGAGTTCTGATGGTTTCCATTTCATACATTTAGCTTCTTCTCCAGTGCAGTTAACTTCCTCCACAGCTTTCAGAAGAGATCAATTTTTCACTGGATGTTTTAACTTGGTTTTTTAAAAATAATTCAGCGAAGCTGAATTTGAACAAGTTTTAGAATTAGTTTTGTCTTAGGTTTTTCTTTATTGCTGGGAATGTGGCTTGTTTTTTGTTGGGGCTCCATCCCTTTCCAAAAATAGCAATTGAATCCTAAAAATGAAATAAATACATAAAACAATTGTAATTATAACTCAATAAATACACTGCTAAGCACAATTTAACATGGCAATGTAAAACTTTATGTTCTGTTATCACTTACATGTCACATTTCTAAGCTGGTTTAGAAAGGACTATCCTACATACTTATGTATAAGTCCAAAATATTTTAGTAAAAAAGTCTAAGCTGACCCCAAAAGACTGGGTCAGCTTAGCCACAGTCAATGTAAATACCACACCTTAACTCTTACCAAAGAAAAGAACCATCCCCTTCTCTGAGTAGCAGTGAGAAAGACAAGAGATTAGGTCCTTCATGGAAGAACATAAAGGAAGCACCAACCCATTATATTGTCTACCATGGTGATATTTCTGGTGTTCATGAATGCCTGGGAATGGAAATAGTGCTAGAGGTGTGGCTGTCCCTTTGCAGTGGCATTGGTGTTCCCCGTCTTTAACTTATCCATTTCAAAATCCACAATTTTGGCTATCAAATCCCCCTCAACTTGTACATGTGGTAAACTTATACATGAGTATATACCGCATTTATCTATTTTATGACATTTCTACCCCGCCTTTCTCACCCCAGAGATGACTTAAGGCAGCTTTACATACAGGCAGCAATTTGATGCCTTAAAACACAATGTACACTTAAATAAATACTAAAATTGAATTTAAAAATACATTAAAAACAATTAAAACATATAAAAACAATACATTCAAAGTTAAACACGTAATCCATGAGTGTAATCCATGCCATTCCAATGGTCATTGCACATTGCTCCAACTCTAGCTATTGCAAAGTTCTCTAAAGGCTTGGTCACAAAGCCATGTTTTCACTCTCGTGCGGAAGGTCAGGAGGGAAGGGGGCTGATCTAACATCGCTGGGGAGGGAGTTCCACAGCCAAGGGGCCACCACTGAGAAGGCCCTGTCTCTTGTCTCCATCAATCACACCTGCAAGGGAGACGGGAGTGAGAGAAGGGCCCCTCCATATGATCTTAAACTCCGTGGTGGTTCATAGTGGGAGATACGTTTGGACAAATAAGCTGGGCCAGAAATGTTATTTGTTACTTGCCACCAAGAAATGCAGAGGAAAAAACACAAGTCTGGATGCATATGATATTTACTGGAATGTATTGTCAAAGGCTTTCATGGCTGAAATCACTGGGTTGTTGTAGGTTTTTGGACTATATGGCCATGTTCTAGAAGCAGTCTCTCCCGATGTTTCACCTGCATCTATGGCAGGCATTCCAGAGGTTGTGAGGTCTCTCTCCCTTCAGCTTCATTAGATAGCCTCCCCTCAAGCAGACAGCAGGATTTGGAACTGATCAATAAAAGTCAGAAGAGTCTTGCCAAATGGAACTTTTCTTTTATTACATCCTTTTTGTTTTATTGATGCTATATCCATAAACTTTGTGGATTGCTCATCTGCACCTCTTCAGGATTATTATTGTGGTATGCACCAGAGAAGAGCAATCCGCAACAATATGATATGTACCCTTCAATTTCCGAAGGCAGATCTTTCCAAACTTCTCTAAATAGTTTTTGTGCTTTAACCTTCAACATAACTTTGTTTTCCAGCCTTTTAGATTTTAATGTTATTATTTTAATGTCATTATTTTATGAGACTGTACCTCACTCTTCTTATGCTGGTCAATGACCATAATAAAGATTTTTGAATTTGATTTGATTCCAAACTGTGTGTTGTGACATGTTAGTATGTCACTGGAGAGTGTAGGTGTGTTGCATTAATTTAATAAGAAATCCCTGCATCAATGTGAAATAAACAATACCACCTTTAATGCATTTATACACATCAAATGTGCCAGTTAGTATGATGCACTAGTATATTCCCCTTTTGTCATGTCCACATATGCACACTGCATATGTGGACATGCCGAGGAATCATACAAATACTACAAAGTAAGCATATTCAGGTCAAAAAAGCCAATTCCGCATCACTTCCAGTATAACTGAATGACTATATCATGAAATGATGCATGACTAAAAGGTGTGTCACCAACATGAAATGTTTAGAAAGCTCTGCCCTAAGGGCATGGGTAAATGCTCAGACAATAGCTTGACATTCTTTTCTGTGGAAAACTACATTTGCAGCCTTATCTACATTAAGGATAATAACAATAATAATAACTTTATTCTTATATCCCAACACCATCGTCCCCGAGGGACTCGGGGCGGCTTACATGGGGAACAAGCCCAGCAAAAACAGAAGATGTAAGACAATTAAAATACATTGCATTTCAATAATTAAAACAATAAAAATTGAGCAACAGGCATCATAAAAACATAACATCATCAATAAGCATCAAGCAGTAGCCGAGAACAGTGGGCATATTCAGATCTAGGAGGGCAGAGCAAGGACTAGTGTAATACAGCTGTAATGGCGGGGCTGGTAATGAAGTGCTACAGACCAGACAATAAGTTAGGGCTAGGGGGCCCTAGTCAATAGATGAACTGGTTTATCAAAGGCATGTTTGAAACAAGTTTTCAGGTCTTTGTAGAAGGTTGACAGGGTGGGCACTAATATAATCTCCCTGGGGAGAGAGTTCCAAAGTCGGGGGGCCACCACTGAGAAGGCCCTCGCCCTCATCCCCACCAACCATGCTTGTGGCGGAAGCAGGAGCGAGAGAAGGGTCTGCCCAGCAGATCTTAAAGCCCATGTAGGCTCATATGGGAAGATGTGATTGCGAAGATAAGCAGGACCCAAACCGTGTAGGGATAACCTGCACCTTGAATTGGGACCGGAAACTTATTGGCAGCCACTCTCTATAATTAGCTCCAGTTATCAACCTGGCCACCACCCTTTGTACCAATTGCAATTTCCGGACCGTCTTCAAAAGCATAGAGCGTGTTACAGTAATCCAATCTGGAGGTAACTAAGGTGTGGACCACCGTGGCCAAGTCAGACTTCTTGAGGTACAGTCGGAACTGATGAACAAGATTTACCTGTGCAAAGGCCCTCCTGGACACCACTGATACCTGAGCAACAAGCGTCAGTGCTGCATCCAAGAGGACCCCCAGACTGCGGACCTGTGTCCTCAGGGGGAGTGTACCCCTGTTGAGCACAGATTGCCATTCAGTACCCTGATCGGCCACGTGATTGACCAGGAGAACCTCTGTCTTGTCAGGATGGTGCTTCAGCTTGTTAGCCCTCATCCAGTCTATCACTGGACTCACTGTGTGTGTGCATTTTTTTGTGTGTGTGACAGAAGTGACTTGAGAAACTGCAAGTTGCTTCTGGTGTGAGAGAATTGGCCATCTGCAAGGATGTTGCTCAGGGGATGCCCGGATGTTTTGATGTTTTACCATCCATATGAGAGGCTTCTCTCATGTCCCTGCATGGGGAGCCGGAGCTGACAGAGGGAGCTCATCCACGCTGTCCCCAGATTCGAAACTGTGACCTGTTGGTCTTCAGTCCTGCCAGCACAAGGGTTTAACCCTATGCACCATCCAGGGCTCCTTCCACCGGTGCTGGATAATAACTTGATATTTTAGATCAATAGTTATTTTTTCTATTTTGTAATGCTGGATATTCCCTATGTTACCATGTTCCTTTCAAAGACTATAGTAGTTTTGGATTTGAGAAAGAAGAGGGAATCGCCTCTCCTTCTGGGGAACTTACAAAACAGAATATTTGCATTAATATATCTTCCTACTGTGTTCAATAAATCTATTCTTGCAAGTCAGGCCACTAATATAAAAAATAAAGACCCAAAACAGCAACACAGCCACAAGTTCACACTGAAAGGGTCAACCTGAGGCCCAGCAACAGAACAATTAGCAGAAGAAGAGCAGGGTGAGTGCCAGGATTCCTATGAGTTTGAGTTTTGGAACCGGCTTGGACAAACTGCTGGAAACAAATTGTGAATTGTAAAGATCTCTAGTATAATCAAATGAAGCATTTATATCGATTAGGATTCTGAAAAGCCTAAGCATTGGAATACATTTTATTTAAAACCGAAAATGGGTCAGTAAATTATGAACATTTATTAGTTTTGCTTTTTATAGATATCTTTAATTTTGCCCTTTATATAAGCCCCATGTATCATTGCTCCAAGACACTTCTTCCTACATTCATTAAGATAGCAGCTACAGAGCTGCCAGATGTTTTCTGTTTCCAAAATAATCCATAATTGCTTACCTTATCTTCACCCTGACTGATTGGAGAACTTGTCGTTTTAGAGGATGGAGCTCCCCACGCAGCTATACACAAAATACATTGTCTCATTATACCTTTTGAAAGTTTTCTGGTTTGATTTTTATATAAGGAAAAATGTTAATCAAATTTTGTCAAACTGACTAGCAATACTGCTATGCTAGCTATAGTTCAAACTCAATAGAGATATTTCTGTATTCTAAGTGCAATATTAATCTGTAATTTGAAACAGGAACTAAACCTCTGCAAGCTCAATGAAGCTTCATACTAAACTGCTCTTCTGCATAACAGTACAGCGGAACGTCAATTTAAGAGCACTCCAACTTATGAGCATTTGAATTAAGAGTTACTGTTCGGTACAGGTTTCACTTTGACATACAAGCACCATTTTGAGCTAAGAGCAAGCACCAGAGGGAGCGCTTGTGCAAGAGGATAAGGCTTTAGGGCTTCAAGGGAGCAGCCTCCATTCCTCATACTCTTGTCAGCTTTGGGAAATTGCAGTCTGCTTTGCTCTTCTCTGCTTTGAGGAACTTGGGGTTAGTTCATTTTGTGTGGTTTTTATTCCTGGTATGTTTGGCTTCACGAAGAGAGATAGGGAGAGAGAGCAAGACAAGTGAGGCAGGTTAGAATGAGTACACTATGAAGAAAGTAATACTTCTGCCTCTTCACTTTATGCTACCTTGCCACAACTTTGTGCTTCTACCATTTTGAAGTTGATCTTTCTTTTTTTCATTGTTCCATGTGAACGTGCAGGTATTCCCTTGCTGTTACACTGCCCAGTACACATTTTGTTGCCTTAAAGGTGCTTCCTTACCACAACTTTGTGCTTCTAAGATTTCTAAGTTGATCTTTCTTTTTTATTGTTCCATGTGAATGTGCATTTATACATCATTGGTTATTTATAAAGAGCCATTATCTTATTTAAAGACATGTAACAAAAACATTGGGGAGGGAGGCTTTGGTGGGCTGGAACAGATTAATAACATTTCAATACATTTCAATAGGAAAATTTCGTTTGAGATAAGAGCAATTGGAGTTAAGACCTCCGCCACGGAACAAATTAAACTCTTAATGCAAGGTAACACTGTATATGACTCTCATTCAGTGATCCAACAGAAAGAGACATATCATAGTCGCTTATGCCGACATTGTGCGTATTTGTTAAATATCATTTAATGTTTCAGTTTGCTGACTGCATTGGTTCCCGTGTCAGGAGAAGTCAAAAATCTGTGTTCAGATTCATGAATTACCTTTCATTACTGGCCCCAACATCTTTCTTCTCAATAGATTCAGCTTGTGGAGATAGTCCTTTTGAGGTAATTGGTTTGCTTCCCATACTGCATGAAAATACATAGACAGAATACAGTGCTTTACTAAAATATTGTTTTGGATCCATAAATATCTATGGTAACTGATTAAAAATACTGATTTTTATAGAAGTGACAGAAATTAGCAACATTCCAGATCTCTTGCTGATGAAAGAGACAGAGGTGCCAAATGCATAACTGATAGTAACTAACAACAGTACATTTTTGGTGATAAAAAGGGACAGTCGTGGCAAATGAAGACTAGGTTCACAACCATTAAAAGCAGTGAGAGATGAATTATTATAATATCTACACCCTCAAGAACCTCTTTTATGTGTACTGCTGAGCGGGATCTTTCCCCAAGGTAGATGGGTATAAAATTACAGCTGATGGTCCATGAGGCCTCTTCCAATTTTGTAATTCTATTATTTGACTCACAGCCTAATTCCCCACGCTACCATTCAGATATCAGCTTTTAATGGTGCTATGACAACTAAATGTATATTTCTTATTTTATCCAATAGGAATAATTGTTTCAAGATTAATTGCAATTCTTAATGTCCTGTAGTATGAATATTACCCCTTTTTATTGTAAAAGCAAAATAAAGGGGCCCCTGGTGATGCAGTGGGTTAAACCGCTGAGCTTCTGAATTTGCTGACCGAAAGGTTGGTGGTTTGAATTCGGGGAGCAGGGTGAGCTCCTGCTGTTAGACCTAGCTTCTGCCAAACTAGTAGTTTGACAACATGCAAATATGAGTAGATCAATAGGTACCGCTTCTGCGGGAAGGTAATGGGACTCCATGCAGTCACACTGGCCACATGACCTAGGAGATGTCTACAGACATCGCCGGCTCTTTGGATTAGAAATGGAGATGAGCACCACCCCCCAGAGTCGGACATGACTAGACTTAGTGTCGGGGAAACTTTTACCTTTACTTTAAAATCCCTTAAGTTACCTGGTCTTGAGTGCTGCGTAGGATACTCATGGAATCTAGTTGTGCCAGGCGTTTGGGGAGATAGTAATGACAGCTTTCTGATCCTGTCAGCTATAAATTAAAACACAACAAATCAGTGTGTTTGAGAGAAAGAGGAGGAGGAGGGAGATGAAGAAAGAGAACACAAGCATTCTGATAGAATTTTTTTAAAAAAATGTTTATCCATTTCCTAAAACTTAAAAAATAAAACACTCTCTCAAATACTGGTTAATGTTTAAAATCTAACTTTAGCTGAGAAAAATACTTCATGATTAGATTTTATTATTACTTAATTATCGCATCTCCATCCCATTTTTATAGTAAAAATATAAGAACTAACAAATACAACTGAAAACAAATTCAAAACATTTTATTAAAAATAAAATAAAATCATTTGAATGATCACACTCTTAAAAGTAAAATTGATTTTACCAGTAGAAACCTTTCTATTCGCGACACATACTAGTGAGTGTAAAACCAGTTCTGTAATTGCTTTTATAAAAGTGAATGGGAAAAGTCAAACAGTGGCCATAAGGGTTCTAATGAGGCAGAGCCATGTTGAAGAAAACAATTTGCTTTGACACAGAAACTGTTGAAGTTCCTAGCAGTTCATGTTTAAAAATGCACAACTCAAACAAAACAATATTTTGAGTCATATTCATGTCTCAAAATATTTGCTGGTGTGATAATAGCTAGAACATAACAATAAGATAGGAAGATCAGGTATGAAGTACATCATTTGGAACAAGTGCTCTCTCTCTCTCTAAAGCAGTGGTTCTCAACCTGTGGGTCCCCGTCAACTCCCAGATATCCTAGCAGCTTGTAAACTGGCTGGGATTCTGGGAGTTATAGGCCAAAATACCTGGGGACTCACAGGTTGAGAACCACTGCTCTACAGGTAAATTGCTTTACATGCCACAACCTTTTGTTGCTCCACTGTTGCTGCTACACGTCTTTGAAAGATTGATTTTCATGATTACTTTCTTCATCCTTACTTGTATAGTTTTATAAGAAAGCCACTTCCCAGGCTTATTTGCAAGTTCAAAACCATTTCGCTTAAAGTATAATAATATTAGAATAATAAATTTAAATATTTACACAAAAACTGGTGCAGAATGATTTTATATTTTGAAAATTGGAATTGTCTAAATGTAAACAGGCCACTTTTGCAGAACTGAATTGCTAAAATCAGGCCTCGAACAAGTACCTCCTAAATGAACATTCATGTTAGCCATTTTTAATTAAATGTATCTTAATTTGCTTTTAGGGTATATGTTGTGATGTTTACTCATGTTTTAGTTCATTATGTCTTATTGGATTGTTTCTGTTTTATTTTTCATTTTGTCAGTTTACTGTTGTTTCTGTGCATTATCCTGAATCGTTTTTGTTGTTTCTACTCATTTGAGTCATTGAATGTTTGCTTTTTTGTGTGTAAACATCCTTGCTTCCCTTTGGGGAGAGAGGGCAGTCTAGAGATGATGATGATGATGATGATGATGATGATGATGATGATGATGATGACGACGATGACGATGATTCAAGATGTTGAAGTTCAGGTTTTTAAGATCAACTGGCTAGCATATAACACATATTACGCCCAAAATAAAATAGCTACTGGCTATTTATTTGATGGCTGAAATATTCTACAAGCATTCTGAGTTGTTTTGATTTTAAATAGAATTACTGTATTCTCTGAAGGAAAAAAAACTACATAATCTTATGGCTTACCCAGAATATAGGGATTCTGTGGTTGTCGTCAGGTTTTTAAGGTCAACTGGCTAGCATATAACACATATTACGCCCAAAATAAAATAGTTACTGGCTATTTATTTGATGGCTGAAATATTCTACAAGCATTCTAAGTTGTTTTGATTTTAAATAGAATTACTGTATTCTCTGAAGGAAAAAAAAACTACATAATCTTATGGTTTACCCAGAATATAGGGATTCTGTGGTTGTCGTCGCATCCGTTGCAGTACTTTTTGAAGATATGCTTTCTGTCGTAAAATCGTGTTCAAATGGAATATTTCTTGCAGAACAATGTCCACTGGAAAGAGCAATGGTATATTTAAGTTAACAATTTTACACTTTTGGAAGTCTTTTTATATACCATATACGATCCAGATTTGGTTGTAGGGCATGTCTACTAAATTGGAATTGCACTGCAATGTCTGAACAATATTAACATGCCATTTGGAGTCTGGGACTAAGTTTAGCATGAGCATTAGTGGGTATGCAAGCCACTGTTCTATTTTCGACACTTTTTTCAGTGGGCTTTTTCCTTGAACCTAACTCCTTCTACTATCATATATGAAAAGCTTCAATTATTATTCATGCCCTTTCCCATCTTTTCTCAAAACTATATTATGTTCCTTCAATTTCTCACTTTTCTATGTGCTAAATCTCTTAAATGTTCTCCAGCTCATCTTTTACATGACAGAAGCCTGCACTCATTTTGGGTTTGCTGAGCATTTTCCAACACATAATATTGTCCACAAGTGAGAACTTCCAAAGAATTGCAGCAAGAAATAAATTAAGCAAAACTCTATTCATCTACCCCAGCTATTTATTTATCATGTCAGTATCAACCAGACAATTGTATTACATTTTTAACAAACAGACAAAACAGAGTTTGCAAGCTTGGTAGTTGATTAAATGTCCTTTGACCAGTAGCTGGCGACTTGGAGTGCCTCTGGTGTTGCTGCAAGGAGGTCCCTTGTTTGGGTATCAGCCAGCACGTTAACGACTTAAATCAAGAAATAGTTTTCTAAGATCTACAGAGACACTCGCTGGAACACCTCAGCAAGTGAGAGTCCAAAAGTGGCAGGCTCAAACCCAAAACCTCAATCAATGGCTGATACCAAATGAGAGACTCCCCCTGGGCACACAGAAAACTGGGCGACTTGGAAGGCGCTGAACAGACTGCGCTCTAGCACCACGAGATGCAGAGCCAACCTCAAGAAATGGGGCTACAAAGTGGAATCCACAACATGCGAGTGTGGAGAAGGGCAATCTACAGACCACCTGCTGCAATGCAACCTGAGCCCCGCCACATGCACAATCTACCCCAGCTGAAAGCATACATTTGAGAAAGAATTGAGCCACACATTGATGACAGAAGATTAGGAATTTGAAATTATTGTGCCTTTCAGCAAAAGGAGAAAGATGAAATCCTGTCGAGATTTTATGCAAACTTAACCATGTCTAGTTGTTTGAGAAATTTAGGGCTTACATAAGCATTCCAACCAAGTTGTATGGCTTTGGGAAAAACATGTAGGTACAGCCCTATCCTTCCCACACCAGTCTAGATTAGCATTTCTCAAACTGTGCTCCATGCGAGGCACGGGCTCCATGGGCACCACACCTCACCTTGCTCCAGTCTGTCACTTCCTTTCCTTCTTTCCCCATATATTCCTTTGCAACATACTGGCCACATGATCCTGGTGACTATGTGATCACCAGGACCACGTGGCCAACATACTGCAAAGTTGTGACTTCCATGCCAGACCGTGAGAGAACTGTTGTCACTGCTGCTGAGGACCCGTCCCCACTGTCCCCGAGGGTCCCAACACATGTTCCGCTGCCACCATGGGACTGCGACGCACATGCTGCCACTGCCCCCCCCCCCGCACCAGCTCCATTTGGATGAGAAGACTAAAGATTTTAAAGCTACAATTCTTAGAATTCCCTTGTATTGAGCCATGATGGTGAAAGAGATGCCAACTTGTAATACCTACTGTATCTATATCCATATATCCATCCATTTTATATTATTTCAGGACAATGACTTGGGATTCAAGTATGAAGTGATATTAAATGTGTCAATAACAATATATTCTGATTTTAAAATAACGCATATGCCACCGAGGATGCCACAGGACTTTATTTGTATTGAAAAAAAGTGTTTTTAAAAAGGTGGCTCTAGAGTGTTTGTATTCATCTGCCTGGGGGTCTCCTCCTCTGTTTAAGGCTTGGATGGCAGCTTCTTGCCTGGCAGAAGGGTGTTTGGACTGGATGGCCTTGAGGGGTCCCTTCCTACCCATGTTGGAGGGTGGTTCTGTGCAGGCCATCAGGACAGCATCATTGTAGAAGGAATACAGTTTTACACCACTTTGACTGTCATGTGTATGAATGGAATAATTGGAATTGTAGTTTTTCAAGGTCTACTCTGCCAAAGAGTGCTAGTGCTCCCCCACCAGCTCTGTTCCTAGTGAGGGAGGGATTTATAGTTCCCATACATCTAACCCTGCTTGACCTGCAGGAAATGAGGGGGGCTCTTTTGCAAGACCGTCACCCTCTTTTTCCTCTCATTCCATGATGTCACAACTCCAAAGTGTAGTTAGTAGTGAGGGTGCATCATAAATGCAGTTTGACACCACTGCTATGTGTATGAATGGAATAACTGGAAGTGTAGTTTTCAAAGGTCTTCTCTGCCAAACAGTGCTAGTGCCCACCCCCAACTCTGTTCCTAACTAATATATATGAGAGGTTGCTTACCTGTAACCGTAGTTTCCCTAGTGATGTGCTGTGAATTCGCACTAATGGTA